GGGGGGGGGCGCAGCCCCCCCCACAGCAACTTACAAGGAAATCCTTCCAGCTAGGTTTCAAAATGTGCCCATGGAGCTTTCCAATACGACTGCGCTTTCTGTGAGGCTGGCCGAGTAGAAAGGAGGCTGGCGTGCTTCCTTGCACACACGATTAAGAAACAGTCTCTCCAAAAAACTTTAGTTTCACTGCCGCGAAACAAACTCCTGTATCTATAGTTTCGGGGTTTCGAAACACAGATTTTACGCAGTCGAAAGTCTGTCGCAGACATTACCTTAGTTTCTGCCCATAAAACTAAAGTTTTAAACCTTTGTTTTTTGCCCCCGAAACTAACGAAGTTTCCGTTCCAGAGTTAGTTTGTTTCCCCCCCCCCCCCGCCCGCAGGCCGGGGAGGCGAGGTTTGAAACCCTCGTTTTTGTTCGCAAAACAAACAATCTTCTTTGCACGGTGTTTGTTGGGGTTGAAACAACGTTTGTTTAAAACTTTGGCTCGCGATGTATCTCCCTCGCACAGGTTGGCATGGATATGCGCTGCACAAGTCTTGGAAGCATGACTGTGCGAAGCTGAGAATCTTCTTCAGACGCAACTTCTTCACGCGCAATCAGTTCGGGTGGTTTCACCCAGAGTTTCACGGCTATCAACAATAATACCTTTGGAACAAGTTGATGACCGGGAAGATGTCCAAAGCCAGCATGGGGATTGCCACAGTCCGTGACTTTCAGCAGATTTCATGAAGCATCATGAAGCCCAAGTGTTCTTGCAAGGCCAGTTCTGCATTGTAGTGTAGTATATATTATATATCATGGTTTTCAGGACAAAAGACCAAGAAACTCTATATAGTCACATTTTTCGTCCCACACACGTTCATTGCACGGTTTCACCCTCGCTCCTCGCAGTGGGAACGAAAATCTCGGAGTTTCGTGGGCGACGGAGTGAGTGGGGATTGGGTTCTCCAACGATATAGTATATTCAGATTCCACTGAGATTCCAATGGAGATTCTACGATATATAGTATATAGGATACAGATTGGGTTCTCCATGAGATTCCTATATAATCCTATATATAACATTTAGCCAAAATTATATAGGAATCTCATGGATCTACTGCCACCCTCTAGGGAGAATCGTTGCAGACGCTTTGATATCGGCGCGGTTAGGAGGGTCAATACGTACCTTCTGAGAACGTAGGTGAAATTTATAGTGGAAGATGAAGAGATCACTGATGCACAGATGAGGTCTCCTCCCCTGGCACAGACGGAGGACGTTTCTTCATCCAGGTCCAGTCTCCTCACACGTGAACCATCACGGTCGATGTCGCCGCCTCGCCGCCGATGTCCGCCCCTCGTGACATCGGTGCGGTTCGTGGTCGACTGGTGGCCCAGCGGCGGGACTCCTGAAGACTCCTGACGCACGGGTTTTTTCGAGGTGGAACCCGTGGTAAAGAAGCATAAAGACACCCACGGATTCCGGTCCCGTTTTTTCGAGGCCTTGAATCTCCAAGTTTCGATTCCTCACGTGAACACGCCAAGTCCACTTGGTCACCCTCGCATGGATGCCTCTTGGCTCGTCCACGTGGGCCACACAGAGATTCCACTGAGATGCATTGTGAAGCTGAATGGCGGAACCAGAAAAAAGGAGTACTGTATTACTTTGGAGTATCACTTAAAAAACGGTACTGTATCACTTGTAGTGATCAGGTGTAGAAACCATGGACCTTTATTGTTCATGTTTTTTCGACCTTCAGGTGTTTGCCCTCAGGTTCAAACATCACGCACATACTGCTGTTTTTTTTCAACTTCAGGCCAGCACATACTTGCTTTAATCTCCAAAGCCCAACAAGGCAGATGCTGGAGTGTCGTTGAACAGGATGTTTCAATGCGAAAGCGCGCAACTGCCAGGTTTCTTCGTCATAGAACCTGGTTTCTTCGGACACATTGACAAGCTATATACTACAGTATGAACTTTGACAAGTTGTGAAGCCAAGCTCTTCAGTGCGAAACTCAGCGTTGCATCGTCCTTCCGGCACCATGAGCGTCTTCTATTGGACCATTGCGGGATACATCATTGTGGGTGGAGGAGGTGTTTGTGTGCTCGCCACGCTTGTTCGGTCCGCACGGCGACCGCACGGTGGCCCGCACGGTGGTCCGCACGGACCGTGGCTGCAGCTGTCACGCCGAGAAAACGCCAAGCTCAGGTTTCGCACCACGGGGTGCAGATGCCCCAAGCTCATGGTGTAAAAAACTTACAAGAAACGATGGCAGATTCGGTCTACAAACGACGGAAATGCAAAAAGGTGACCAAGGGATCGGGTCTGGATCCCTTGAGAAGAAGGGCTGAATTGAATGCCAGATGTTGGCTCTGTGATAGTTTGGGAGCCTTCCTTGGAGAGGATTTTGGGATGTCACTAACCACTCATTTGGCATCAAGGACTTTTTCAGGCTTTGGAAGACACTCTCTCTCCTCAATCCTCCTCATGGGTGCCATTGTCCTCCTTCCCTGCATGCGTTCGGAACCGCATGTGTGTTCATGCGGTGTTCCTGCGGTTCCGCAGCGTGCCAGGCGTCTTTCTTTGGGGCAAGGAGCATGGCAACTCGATCTTTGTCGCTCGGCAAAGCAGCTTTATGGTCTCCCTCACCCTCAGACCATATTCCAAACAAGCTGCAGATCTGACAAGTGATTACAATCCACCCTGCGCCCGTGCAGACTCCTGAAGTAATTAAACAACATTCCCAAGTCTTGAAGCCATCCAAGTGTGGAAACAAGCAGGTGTCCGCCAGCCACCGCAAGAGGGAAGATGGGAAGACCATCCTGCTATGCATGCCATTCATAGTTCCCCTAGGCAGCACAAGGCAGCCCAACATCTCCTCACTCACTCCGGTCTCCGGACCCCAACATCATGCCTGGCGAAACTTGGGATCCGCCTCCTCCACCGTTCTCCCTTTGTCCCTCCGCCTCCCTCTCCGCCCTTCTTTCGATCCGCGACGTTCGATCCTCGACCGGGATCCGCTGACCCGAGGATCGGCTCTATCGGATCTTCTGCATGCACGTCCCTCGGCTGCTGAAGAAGGCGCGCAGCGGGTGCAGCGGGTGAAGCGGCCATCGGGTGGTGAAACTGGATGTGCAAAGGTGGTCTAACTGGTTGTCTAACTGTGCAGCTTGCTCACTGGCCGGTAAGACCGCCTGTTCAAGCCATCAAGTTGGCGGAATACCCGATAGACTTTTCGGTGCTGAGTTTCCACGACGTCAGAGAGTACTCCATCTCTCCCTCTCTCTCTCTCCCTCCCTCCATCACATCACATCACATCACATCACATCGCCTCTTGATGTGACCTTTAGTTGATCCCTCCAAGATGGTGAAGTGTGCCAGACTCCATGAACCGTGCTCTGGTGGATTTGGTGTAGTTTGGGACTGTGTGGTTGGTTGGGTTGATTCCCATTTTTTTGAGCCCGTGGGGATGATGGTCAAACCGCAGTCGAGTCTCACGGAGCTATGTCGTGAGTGCAAACGGCTGGTTTGACGCGTTGGGTCTCAAGCTGCGGTGTGTCATTTGGGGGCAGCGTGCTGGGAGGCTTTGGAGAAGTGCTTCGGCAAGCGTGCCCCTGCCTGTCTTGATGCTGCCTGGGTCTACGTCTGCTACACCAGCAACCCCCTGGTGCAGCTCTTCTACGCCGCTCGAGCCAGAACTCCGAGGAAGCTTCCAGGGTGTTCGGACACGGGACGTCTTTTTGGGACGTCAACTTCACAGCAGGCATTGACGAGCTCCAAGAGTCTAGGAGTCTAGGACAGGCTATTGTTACATATCCCTGGGAGTCCAAGACCATTTTTGAAACGGTCTTTGGGTGATCCGAAAAGGAACTTCCTTTACTTGCACGGTGCCGAAAATAGTCTTTGGACTTCTAGGGATATTGTTACTTTTCTTGCACAGGGGATGTCGAGCTGGGACACAGAGCTGATCTGATCTCCGAAGCTTATCACGAAAGGTAGCTTGAGCTACCTGAGTTCTCCTTGCTTTAGCAAAAATGTATTACAATCCGGAGTTGGGATTGTGCATTGAGTTTGGTCCTGTAAGAGTTGATTCTGTTCGTCGGGGGGGGTGGCCCCCCCCCCTGGATCAAATCCCCCCTCCACCGGTTCACGCCGTCATGGACTTTTACCAGGGTTGCTTGTGATTGCCTGCTACCTTTCGTTCACCCCCTCCTCTCTCAAGTGCCCCAGACTGCTCGCGTTCGTGCTCACAGCCCAAGTCACGGCTACCATGAAAAAAAGTTCAGTTGACCGGTCTTGTGAAAAAAGATGAGTAACATGATGTAACATGTAACATGAGTAGAAAGATCCTGGTTGGGGATGGTTCCACCTATTAAATCAATGGTGGGCCCGGAATCCTAGGGCTTGCACATCGACCTTCCAAATGAGCTGCCTTTCGAAGATGGTGCGCAGCCAAACAAGACCAAATGGAATGAGAAGTGGTTCAATAATGTTGAATAATATGGATCAATACGGTTCATTATGGTTCCATGTGTGGGCTCAATGCCTCATCATTTCAGAATCTCAACAAGCACTTTTCCCAATTTCTCTCTACTAGTCTCAGGTCTTCTGAACTTCTTGTATACAGTATAGAAGCAAATCTGATCTCCTTCGCTTCTTTCAACTCACGGAGGAACGCCCCCTTTTCCAACCCTCTGACTCGAACCCCTCGGCTCGAGCCGACGCGCTCTCTTTGTGCACCACCCAGTTGCTGGTCGTGGTGGGCAGCTATGCGACCTTCGTGGCTTACAGCCATCCACATTTGCCCAACAGGCGAGCCATCCTTCGTGTCTTCCGTCCCGTCCGGTCGTGTTGACGTCGGCTCGTGTTGTCGTTGGGAGCGACGTTTTTTGAGGTCGTCGAATGTTCGCGGCAACTGGGTGCAAAGAAGACAGGTGGTTTAGCCTATACTATACTATTATTACTACTACTACTGCTACTACTACTACTACTACTCCTACTACTTACTGCAAAGTTTACTCTTAACTCTTAAATGTAAATTTGCTATTGCCTGCATAGGCTCCAACGGTTGCTGTAGATGGGTGTGCATTCAATCAGAGAGACCCCGCAAGGACCCACTGGAAGAGGAAGAAAGAGACCCAAACCCACTTTGTTGGCCTACGGGTCACCCATGGTCAGCCCGAACCGGCCTGGAACACAGAAACACTCCCAGATCGGCCTGGAGGTTCATTAGTTCGATCCACAAGTACATTGGCTTCGGGATCTTCTCCTTGTGCTTGGCCGTTTGGTGGCGTGCCTGCACCGTCGGATGGCCCAGCGACCGCTGATCATGGCATGTGAGGGGAGGAGTGTTCCGTCGCGTTTTCGGTTGAACCTGGAGGAAGTCCGGAGGGAAGACAGAACATGCTGGGTGAAGCTACAGGTGCTACTAGTCCAAAAAGATCCACGGCCTATTTTTGAACAATAGTATATATAGTATATCATATACATTTGGAAAAAATCACAGCCACTTGGACACCAAAACGCTGGGCGTCCTGGAAGATGCCTGTTCTGGTACGAAGCAAAGATGCAACCTGTTCTTTGCCATCCTTCTGGATTTCCTGCTGATCGCATGACTTTCAGCTTTCCGCAACTTGGGTTATCATCCACCCCTTGGATATATAGGTGTCCACAGTGGTGTCCACCCATTAGCTAACGTCTCGTCTTGGGATGTCTTGGGAGCTTCTGGAATCCGCTGCTTTTTCACTGGTGGAATCGTCCGGGCGGCCGGAACCACTTGCTGCGTTGCCAGACGGACCCCGGCACAGTGACCGCGGAGAACGTGGACTTGGTGTGTGATGTTTGGAAGGCGCGGCCGCAGTCGGAGGTGAAAGCGGAGGGTACTTCTAAGGCGCCCAACATCGGAGGTTGTGAGGGGTATTCCGAATCTAGGTGATGGTTTCGGATATGTTCATTTTCAACCCTTACTTGGGGAGGATTGGACCCTCTGACTCATATGTTTCAAGTGGGTTGAAAACACCATCCAGGAATTAATTATCTGGATACGACAACAGGATATTCCTCCTTTTTCTTTTTCTCGCTTGGGGTCTTTTTTTGCGCTACAACATGTGCGGGAGGAGCATACGTGCATGTATAATATATGTTTAGACACACTTTATATATTGTTTTGGGGGTTGATCAGTTCTTTTAGCCCTGAGCACTTCGCAGAGCCACCTGCACAATTAGATGCCAACCTCCAAGCGCCGCACCTTTCCCGGTCAATTTCTTGTCATTGGCTTGTCGCGGCCTCCTGGCACATAGGTGCCAACGTTAAATCAATATCCGTTCCGAATCTCGCATGTCGAATCAGCCATGTTCCGTGGCTACAATGACTATGCAGATGGCATGTGAAAAGGGTGGGGCAGAAGATCAGTTTCACCATGGATCAGCTTCACTATGGTAGGAAGATCTTGGATACTACTGTAAAGTGCCGAGAAAGCCCCGGAGCGCCCACGGACTGACGACCAGTGCATGGAGATTGTGACATCCCAGACGGAACGAACGGAACGCATCAAAGAAGCATCTGAACATATGGCTCTCGAGTCATGGCACCTCCTCCACTCATCCTGTGGTAGATTTGACATCCGTTCCTTATAGACCCCGTTCATGTTAGTCAACCCTTTTTTGACCACCGAGACCAACATCGAGACCCGGGCTGACGTCCGAACGTCGCAAAAAACCTTCGCCACAGGCGAAAAGGACCCCTTTCAAAGGTGCGCACCGAACCCTTGGACCCTTGGACCTTGATTCCACGGGCCCATTTCAGCCCCCCTGCGTGGAGGCTGAAATACTTGGGATGGCCACAAAAATGGATGGATGAGCCTTTCAGCACCTTTGAGCTATGCTGACCGTCAGGATCTTCAAAACACACCGCCTCTTCACAATCCTGCCAGTGGGACGAGCTGATCTTCCACATGTCCAAGTGCCGCTCCTGTGATTTGGTGAAGCCGGCACGCTCCAAGCACTGCTCCTTGTGCCAGCGCTGTGTTGCCAGGCAGGGGATCGGACCTCGTGGGTTCCGAGGTCTGAACAGCCCGTCAGCGCCCATTTCCCAGTCTTGTACCACACAGACCATCCGAACGTTCAGGTCGACCTCAAAACCTCTCTTGGTTCAAGCACGCAACTCGGTGACATGGTCTCGTTGGTGGTTTCTGCGCTCAGAAAAGCCTAAAGGTTGGAGTGTTCAGGATGGGTTTTGCAGCAGAAACGCTTGGCGAATGGCTAAGAGGAGGCCATGCATGTGAGTATCCCACAACGTCACCATTGAGTCTCACAGCCAGGGCTAAAATGTTTGCCTGGGCGTGAATTGGTGTCTACTCCCCCGAGAAGATGTTCCCCTCCAAACGTGACACCCTTTCCTTCGTGGGTGATCCATTGAACCGACTCAACTCAACTTCTCCGTTCGTAGCGATGCCCTTTGCTCCTAGTAACTAGTAGCTTCTTGCTCCTAGTAGCGATGCCAGGAGCCCCTAGTAGCTTCTTGCTCCTAGTAGTAATGCCAGGAGCTACTAGTAGCGTCCTTGCTCCCAGTACAATGTCCTTTGTTACTCAGATGCGTTTTTCCTCAGATGGTGAGTTCCCACGTCAGGTTCGATCACCATTGCATTTGGATCAACAACTGCGTGGGCGTCGGAAACCATCGCTACTTCTTGGGGTCCTCGGGCTGCAAAGCAACTTTGCCGCGTGGCATGGGGCGTAAGGAGCCATCGCCGCTAGTGGTTCGTTGTCACTGGTGCATGGAGCCTGAACATGGTCTGAGTGTTGAAAAAGGATCGGTTTCGAGTTTTCTCACAAGGCAAAGGGCAGAGAATTCTTAGCAGAGACATCTTAGACAGACGAGTTGGATTGTGTAGCGGGACTCCTCAGGATTTTGATCCTACAAACTCTAGGGAGAGAGGTTTTGTTGATCAACGTGGTGAATTACCACTTAGGTTGTCCCCTTTTCATCTAGTTCGCTAGCTTCAAGCTACTATCAAGCTTCTTCCATCAAATTGATGGCAGAATCGGGTTCATGGAACGAAAAAAGGTGTCGCCTTCCACCCCAAGTCTACGTGGTCCCGGATCCCATGGTCCCGTTTTGGCGCACCTTTGAGCACCTGCAGAGAGCCCAAGTCATTAGAGGTGTCTTAGTAACAGATGGAACTAGCAGTCCCAGAGTCAGTGTTCACTTGTCTTAAGAGGACGTAAAACTGTGCTTTGGATCTGAGGTTCCTGGGCATTCACCTGGTCATTTGCTTCTACGGCTTTGGCGTCATGGCTGGCTAGCCCTTTCAAGTGGACACTTCAGTGATGGTGCATGAAGGGGGCAATATAGAAGACAGAAGTGTTGAGACAGATTCATTTGCAGTAGAGCCATGTGGGTGTGAGTCAAAACCTCACCCTACAAACCGTGGATCCCTATATATATATATATAGGGGTTTTGACCGCAGGAACCTGCTTGGGGCGACCTTTGGAGGATTTGACAAGCCGAAGTCCTTGCGGTGGAGGTGGAACAATGTGAAACAGATCCCTTCTTGCTCTTGGGTAGGGTGCTTGCCTGACTCACCTTGGGAGTCAAAGACTAGACAAAGAACATTAAACATAAAACAATACTTGTACGGAAAGGTAGATGGTAAACTATACAAAGTCTCAGCTTCCAATTCTCAGTAAAAGACAAAGCAAAGTCTATAGAAAGCTGTAGCTTGGACTTCGGTCCGGCTCCCTTCGGGCCTATCCTTATACCCATTTGGGCCATTGGACCTTGGTTGTTTTCGGGTTGTCAGATTGAGATGGTGAATACTCCAAGATGGCAAATGAATGCAAGTATTAACACTTAACAGCGATCTTCTGATAACAATCTTACTAACAATTATAAGTTATATATACCTAGAACCCATGTGACCTCTGTTTTGATAGGAAAAAACCATGTTTTGGCTCCAAAACAGGGGTCAATCAGGTTCTAGGTATATATATATATATTATATTAACATGTATTAACACAGCGATCTCCTGATCCCCACATAGAGAAGTCACTTCCCCCCAAACTCCTCACGCCCCACACAGAGGCTTGACAGCAACCATCCTGTATGAGATCGTGGCGGGGGGCTAAGCGCCCTCTAGCTGGGGAGGAAGCCGCCGGGTCGAACAGCGCAGGTCTGGATCAACCACACCTGGTGAAAATAGAACATTCCTTGATGGAGCTGAGGAATCTTTAGGGTTCGGGCACCCAAAGGAACGAGCATCCGCATCGCTTCGGACACCCCCAACCTCGCACGCATCTCGGCTGTCGATGCAACGGAATTCAGGACTCCAAGAGCCACCAATGCCAGGCGTTCTTGTTCGTGGAGTAGAACACACCATGCGGTGGGGCTGCGGTGTGATCGGAACAAAAGCTGAGGAGGATCCTGCAATCAAACTTGTTTCTCAACTTGGTAGGCCCCTATGGCTATGACTAGGCCATAGGGCCACGATAGGGCCGATTGGAGGGTTTTGCCGCTTTGCCACTCTTGGGATTTGCGGTCTGAGGTTTCCAAGGAGCTCTTCTCGGCAGTCTTTGTGAGACCAGACACTCAGGAGCATTTGTTCATGCCCAGGCAATAGATGTGGTCACTAGAGGGATGTGCTGGAGTATCAGAGGATTTAGACTGGTGAAGCATTCGCAGGACGGTCATTTGTCCACAAACATCCAATCCTGGACCCTTGGCAGGCCAAGAGGCCGAGACGTAGGTCACACCCCGCATGAATCTGCATGATCGAATCACCGTCGCCGCCCACGTGAATCTTCAAAAGGATCGCTCTGAACACTGCACGCATGTTTTTGCACTTTTCACCAATGCGAGTTGCAGTGGTTTCTTCGGCTTGCCATTTGTTGGGGGTGCAGAAATTGGAGAATCTCATCCTCCAAGCCCTTGAGTTCCGGATGCTGAAGGGGAAAGAACAAGGGTGAAGCATGGTGAAACAGGGTGAAACCAGGCCCCCGTACCTGTACAACTTGATTTCCTTCGTCTCTCACCAAGGTGCCTGACCGGTCTTTCACACCAGGCACCATCGGGCTTGGCCTCCCATCCCGTCCCGAAAAAGCTTTCAAGAAGCCGAGCGGATCTGAACCTTTCATCCATAGGGATCCCCCTTAATGGGCAACCAGAGATCTTGGAGATCCCCGAAATTGCTCCATTTGGGCCACCCGGTTTCCTCCTCTTCACCATCAGCCCCAGCCCCCTCCAGACCCTGCGGGCCCCGCACCCCTCTCTCGGTGCGCTCGCTCCAGGAGCGCTTCACCGCCACGAAGCTTATGGTGGGACAGTACCTCCTAGCGACCGAGGAGCCGCCGAACGAGCGCGTCGAACGTCGTGAAACACCCACAGGTTTCGTGCGCGGCTCAAGTTGGGCGGTGCATGCGCGGGCGAAGGGGGGGCTTGGATGGGGGCTGGATGTGAAGAAAAGAGGGCGACGACTGGGGGTTGGAAGGATGGATGATCAAAAGAAGACGACGGAAAGGGTCTGCTCAAGACCTATTTTGTGTGGCCGGTTGTTGGGTTTGGGTTCGAGCTGAACGGGCGAACGGTGGAGAGTTTGGATATGTTTGGAACCTTTGCCGCAATGCATGTCTGTTTAGTCCCAAGACCAACTGAACATGTGGATTTTCAACCAGCCATTTGATCCATGCACTTGCTCTTTTTGGCAACGACATTCAGAGTGATCCCCATTTCTACCAGCCAGTGCTGTACATGCTGTCGTAGGTCACATGGTCAAACGCTCACCTACCCAAAGCCCAGCGGTTGAGACACTCAGAACCCCAAAAGTGCTGCAAGCACCACCAGGCCTGCACAAGCACCTGTACGATCAGTAGGGACTGGGTAACTCTTTAGATGTCAATCAGTTTTGAATTCTTTGAAACCCTGACCACATTCTGTTGTGCTTGTCAACTTGTTTTGATCCCTCAACCATACCTCCAGGACAATAGTAAGTATTCGTGAATAATCGACCCCTGAGCTCGACCTCTTGACCCGAGCTCGAGAGCCCGTGAGGGCATGGTGGTCTTCATATGCGTTCTGTGCAGCTTGGCCGCCGGTTTTACCAGCTCCAAGCGAGTTCGGTCCGTGTTCGGTCCGAGTGAATTCGGAGGGATGAAGGATAAGACGACACGATGAAGGCTAAGACGCAAGGCGCAGGCGCGAAATCAGGGAAGGCGGCTCACCCCATGGTTCTGAAAAACAACGGTTGGTGCAAACATGTGGAAACCGGGACCAAACCAGTCTTCAAAGATCCCGTGACAGTGCTAAGAGGTTTCAGCTCACAACGTGATTGGGTTTCAACAAAGCCACAGCGGTTTTTGACCTGGGTCGAGAGGGCTTCTTGATGTCTCATGAGATGAAGCCAGGTTTTGGAGGATGATGGTTTGTGTCACCCAAATCATCGCTGGCAGTTGTGTATAAAACTGGGTTGGTTTTCACATTTTGGGAACCGCGACCATCGAGGTTTCTATATTTGATGCTAAAAATAACGCAATCTTGAATTCTTTAAATGTTTGCCAGGAAACAACCAGGTGCTACATGTATAATATTGTCACACAATCATATTTGGTTTCATAGGTTTGCCATGTGTCTACCAATCTACAGAAAAAGACTCAGCAACTGAGGCTGCATCATGGGCATCGTCCTCTTTGGCTTTTTTGGTTGGCATCTTTACCTGGTTCGTTCAGGTGGAGAATATTGGCCGCGGCGAACGCAGGATGAAGTGAGGGACGAGCATCTTTGCCATTGAAGGAGGATTAGCTCCGGCTCGGCTGACCAACAGCTCCGGAAGTTGAGCAGTTGTGATCTATGTGGAGCCACAGAACCACACAAAAACGAGAAAAAGACGAGTCATGGAACCTAGTCTTGTTTGTGGTGCAGTACCATTATGTCCTTTTGGACCATGCACACCAGGTGGTTTCCTTTCGGAAGCTGGCTAAAACCAAGCCCGGCCAGGTGGTCGATCTGGTTGCCACACTGGTTGCCAGGTCTTCAAATGGGTTATTTGGTCGATAGATACAGCACCCTCAACCGTATGCGGTTGCATTCAAGAATAGAGTATTAGGATATCAGATGATATCAGTAATGCAAGTTAAGTTTCCCACCAAATCTAGGAATCACATGAATAGTGCAAGCGTGAGCTATCCTGCTTCCTAGGTAGTAGCTACTTAAGCTACTAGCGACTCCCTAGCTTCTACTAGCTACCTACCCCCCCGATACCTAAAAAAAGAAGGTAGACTGGTCTATTGTCCTTCTTTCTGGGTCTTGGGATGTCTAACTATTTTACTTTTTCATTTTTTTTCTTTGTGTCTAATAGCGATGGCTCCAATCTACTAGCGATGGCCTCCAACCTAATAGCGAAGGCCTCCAACCTAGAAGCAACGTTTTCCGTTTTCTCGTACATAAATATCTCACATGTGAACCTCTCGAAGACCATGTTCCTGTCACACCCCCTTATTACGACTGGGATGTCGTTTCAAACTGCCTGAGTAGGCTTGGAGGCACCGAAATCTACCTGGGCGATTGCCTCAACCAACAACTGATGCAGTAGGTTTGGGTCAGAGCTATTCCCTACTTTGCCCTCATCCCTAAGTCTCGTTCGTGTCTTGCTCGGCTCCTTTCCTGGCTTTTTCCATCATGACTCCATCACGCCGTAGGACGGCCCACGCCACTGGACCTTCGTACCACGACCGGATGACAGGTACCACAACCAACGAAATGAGCAAGTGGAGCTACTTGAAGATGTGCCTCAAGCACGTGGGGGGCCCTAGTTTGAACTGTGGGCTGCGGCTGGAGCAAGTCTGGGTTATGTTCGTGCTAGCCGTGACTAGTCGGTCTAGCGGTGTCCCCGTGTGACTAGCGGTGTACTGCGCAACCCAACCACCAAGATCCACCGATTTGAGTGATTTCTCACATCTTGACTTTTGACCATGATGGAAAAAAGGAAAAAACACTTTCCAACCAAAATTTCAATCAACTCAGATTGGGCGCACTCACCAGTCCGTCGCGAGCTGAAACGCTTGATCTTCAAGTGGAGATGTCTTCCCAACTGAGACCCCCAACGGGACGAAGCGTTGTCCGGAAACCCTTGACACTCGTCCTGTGTAACTGCAAAACCCCTTGACCACAAAACAGGAAAGCTCAACATTCACTGGCACAGCTCTTTGTTTCTTGAGGTTGATTCTGACCGTGCCTTCAGTTTTCTTTGGCAATGATCCACGAACCACCAACCATCATCCATCAGCGTGCGGATTGGTCACAACGATGGCGACTCGCGCATGCTGAAGCGAACAACCAACCAACAACGACCCAAAGCAGAAGACTCCTTGGGTATGCCCCGGAGCAAAGACAGACCCTCATCAACACATGTAGCAGAGCAGGGAGTAGAGGGGGCCTGTAGTCGCTGCGCGTTGCGCTATGATAGTGAGGAGCTGTAGTTGCCACCCCGAGAGGATGACCATGGCCTTGCAAGACTCCAGGACGAGGCGGTGCACTGAACACGAATCCCATTTGATTGGGCGGTCCTTGCCGGGAAGACGGCCGAAGGCGCAGCCTCGCACGCACAGCATCGCGCAGGAGGGCCCTGAGGGCAAGGACAAGATCCGTCTGCTGAACAATGAGTACAACCAGGTGGGACTCAAGTCAAGCGGCCCAGCTTTGATGATCTTTGTGGTGTTCGTTGCGAAGCAACCCTTACTGAATCAACAGGTCCAGTACCTAAGGGCCATTTGGATTTCAATGATTTCAGGTCTACAAAGATGTTGCAGCCAGCACATGTGGCATGCTCCAAATCCACGTTGGTTTGGATCCCATTTGCATCCGTTCCTCCGTAGGAAGTGTCAACTCATATATGACAAGGCAATTGGATTCTGGAGCACCTTGTCAGGATGCCCAGTCCTCACCTGAATTCATGATGTTTAGTTTTTTAGGGCAATAAGGGCGCATGTGGGGCGATCGCAACGAGTCCAGGTCCATTGAGAACCACCTCGTCTCACGCGTGTTGGCTCAAAGTGCAGCTGAAGAGGAACATGGCGACCATTTGCAAATGATGGACTGTACAGTCTATGGACGCAGATGTCAGCAAGTTGAAGCACTGACAACAAGCTAATGAAGTAAGTTGTTGCAGACTTCTAGTCTGCACCCCACTACCAAGCTCAAGATACGCACCCTTGCAGAACTGCCAGCCGCTTATGTGAGAAGCTTGAATCCCAAAAAGGTCCGAAGAGGCTGCAAAGAAGCAATCATCTCAGCACCAGAGCTGTTTGTCAAAAAAGAAGCACAAAGGCAGGTAGAGGTAGACCATTGGTGGGGAGAAAAGACGCATGCATTTCTGCGGACTGCATCACGCTTTCCTGGAAAAGCGCTTTTCCAAAGTGCTCGACATCCCTTGGGCACTTTGACACTCCGACCCAACATGGAGGCGGGAGTTGGAAGACTGGAAGAGGATGGAATCCAGCTGGATGTCGGTTGGGCTGGTAGGTAATTATGATAATTATGGATCTCTTTTTTAAAAGCTTGAGGATTTGACAGGATCTTCATTTGAAGAAAGAAGTCCGAAAGCTCCTGGTGTTCACAGTGTCGATCTCCGACTACCTACCATTGAACTTATTTGCTCACTTCTCAAAATCAAGTTCAGGATTCTTCGTTCGATGTCACCGGGATGTTCCATGCCATTTGGCTCGTTCGCACACCCGATCCACTCTTTTGGACCGATCCTTTTGGAACGGACCTTTCCATCATTTGCACTGGTTTCTCCCGGGAAACCGGTCGGAAAGATGATCTCGGTCGTTGGAGGTTTCTCCTTCCTGGTTTCTTCGACCGCTCGACCACCCAGGCGACGGTGGCGTTGCCTGCGGACCTGCGGCAGACTGGAAGGTGGGCCAGTGGGATCTGTGGAGCGCCGGACCTGCTCGAGGTGGTGAAGCGGGGGGGGCCGGCGGGTCAGTTCCTGCTCGAGTGGCGCTCAGTTCCTCCTGAGTCTTCGGCCGAGCTCCGCCGAGGCAGTCGGCGTGTCGAGTTTCGGACTCTCATAGCCCGGGGGGGTCAGGGCATCCAGGCCACGATGTCGCTGGGAGTTCCAGTGGGTTCCAGTGGGTTCCAGTTCGACTAAAACCATAGGCCGGTTCCGAAGGGCCCCTGGTTCCTTAGTACTCGTGGTTGGCCTAGGATGCGCTGGCTGGACCTTGCTATGACTTGTGTTGGTGGCAAGTCCGGTGCGTTTCTGGTCGCTAGGCCGGTCGGAGCGTGGTGGCAGTTCCAATTGGGGAGGGTGAACATGATGATGAAAATAGGGAGACCTCTCAGTTGGACCCTCTGGAAGGCTTGGGTCCAACCCCTTGGGGGGCCAGAGGGTTGGCCAGGCGTGAAAACACGCCGTGTTCTACGAAGCGCCGTTCGGAACGGGCGGTTTTCACCTGGACCGAGTTCACCCAGAATGGAACAACTCGAGCTTTGGATGTCAGTCATTTTTTGCAGAAAATGACGGCCTGACTTAAGCATGCGGGAGCCACATCATTTTTTGGGGCACATCCCATTTGAGGTGATTTTGGCAACACGGTCGCGCGCCGCAGAAAAAGAGTTTCAGCTAGTTTCCATTCAACCGCCCGCAACATGGCGAGTGGACTGAAGAGAATATTGGCACTCCCCGTTTGGCTCACCCTTCGGTCCGTTGCTTTCCCGGCATGAAAGACTTGTTTGCTGTACCTCGCGGTACCTCACGAGGCTTCAAGGGCAAGCGGGCAATGTGGATAGCGGTGCCAAACCCAAAGGGACGTGCCTGGGATGTGCCATGAGACGTGGGACGTGCCATGAAACCACTAAGAAAAGAGAAGACAGAGAAGAACATCAAGGAAGGCAACGGTTTTCGATCTCGTTTTTTCATGCAGAAGAAGAACATCAAGCCCGGCCAGTTTCTTCTTGCTTGGTTGACTGGACTCCAGTGAGGCTTTCGCGCCCATTTCAAAAAAACATTGCTATAGGATGCTATATAGGACCAATATAGGACCCATGTTCCATGGGTCTGATTCATTGGATCATTTCGGTCGGAGTGGGGCTTCCCGGCTTTCAATATCCACCGCCTTCCCTGGACTAGGGTGAACTCTCTCTGAGGACTCTGGCTGAAGCCATGAACAAAGCCCTCATGGACAAACGTGCGCGGCCCAAATGCGCGAAAGGGGGCTTGAGGAGCCGAGTGTCGACATGGCTTCGGGACCAAAATTCTCCAGACTCTAGATGCCTAAGATATCGAGATTTTCATGCAACACCCACCATAGGGCACTAGGGTCTTCATGACAAGTAGCCGCCTGCACCAAGGACATGGGCAATAGCTGCAAAAGAAGTACCATGAAGAACCCCCAGCAGTTTTCCATGGTTTTCACGTGACCCCAGCTGGGGGCAGGTTTCATGCTCGAAGAGTAGGCGAGCAGTTGCAGCTGCTTGGAATGTTGCTGACTGTTGCTAAGTCAGGCTTCTACCCACTCTCGAAGAGACTCCGCGCTCCCAAGACCTGCATGCTCTGCTCAAAACTACACATTTGTCTTGAGGAGAATTGGCGTTCAGTGGACGCTTTGAAGGCTTTCATCTCAATCGTCGTCCTTTGCTTTCAGCCTCTTTTGGTCCTTTTCCGACATGCAAACACGGGAAACACATCGGCACACACGCTCCTAGAAAGCTGCCACTTCCTCCGGACTCCCACCAGTCCTGCGAAACGTCCTCCGTTTTCGGCCACGGGGTGGGTGCCAGCGGGTTTCTGTTCCTACCTTCCTCAGGGATGCGCCCTACGGAAAGACACTGCTGTTCCCTTCTCACCTGAGACGGCTGGGAGTCCGAAGCGCCCGCGACGCTCACATAGATAAGCACTTTTTTGGGGGGGGTAGGCCGTTAGAGGTGAGGTAGGCTAGCTAGGTAGGTAGCTAGTAGAAGCTACTGAGTCGCTAAGCTACTACTTAGGACGTAGGATAGCTCACGCTTCTTAGGGAGCTTCCTTGAAGAAACGCTCGTATTATTCATTTCGTTCCTAGATTTTTAGGGAAACTTGATCACCTGATAACATGCAACAAACTGACGACATTTCCTATGAATTCCTGCTGACCCAAGCACAGGCATTCCTCCCAACCACCAGCGATTGATGTCACGTGGCGTCACGTGGCGCTTCCCCAGGTGATCGCGGAAGCTTCTTGGGCCAAGCCTGTCGCCGACACCAGGCGTTTTGCCGCGGGTGCGTGCAGGTGGTGAAGTGTTTCCTATGCTTCACATTTTTATTAATTTGGCTCAGACTTCGACGATCGCGAGTCTTGTGGGACTTCAAAGATCTGTTCGAGATTCCAAGTTCGAGATATGAATCCAATTGCATTGTTGCCCCCACGTTGCAAGCATTGCTGATTGAAACCTTTGGAGTTTCAGCATATCCAGGCCATCGCAGTCAATGGTTTGAGATGTGTCAGCTCAAAAGATGTACCTTAGGAGCCCCCGACACCCAATAAAACCAAATCTTCCAAATCCGGCACCTGAATCGGCGCAGAGGTACTGGAGGTCAGCCAGGTGTAGGGAGGCTTCCCCGAAAAGAATCCTTTTCATCTCACCAACAAACCATCTCTCGAGCTTTTTCACACCAACTTGTGCTGAACAAAACCTCAATCCCTCGACGGAATGGATCCGGTCGCATCGCAGGCATTGTCGTTTTGTGGGTGAATCCATGCAGATTCACTATGCCGCATCCGACCCCCCTTTACCCTGCTCGAGATCCCAACATCAACCAGTTGCCATTCTTCGGATGACGTCGCGTCCGTCTCGGGGGTTGAGGCAGGCAGCGGCTATGGGATGTACCGGGGCCCTTGTCATCCTGCAAGTTGGTCACCACACGAGACGGTACCTTGGAGGGTGATCGGGGTGATCGGAGGATGGGCACGTGGGTGGGAAGCATCAATGGAACTTGTTGTGTATAATTACAACGAAACTCTAGGAAAGTGGACTGGCCCTTGGGGGGGTCTGAGAACTCGAATCACGTGACAGTTCATGGCACACAGAAAGGAACTCCAAAACACGGAGAGCCTTGCCAACAAAGCCTGGTGGAAAATGCAACTAGAGGTGGTCCACATTGAGGTGCTTTTTCACACTCACGTTGGATCTGTTCCTGGGACGGAGTGTCTAGAAATATCTTTAATCCCTAAGAAACTCGCACGGCAAGGTCTGTGTGCGGATGAGATTCTCAAAGCTTGGAGTGAACCAAAAGCAGGTCTGACCGACACCCCAACATCTCGGGACAGCATTAGAGGTGACGTACCGTATGACCTCGAACCATCCAAAACCCTAAATCCCTCATACCTCAGTGTGGGTTCACGCACCACACCGAAACCACACCTGCGGCCACATCCACCCGCCGCCACATCCGCGTGGAACCACCTGCAGGCCTTAGTCCAGGGCTTGAAGGGCTGGCAAGTCACCGAGTCGGATCAGGCGGGAGGCGGAGTGAAGGGGTGGAAAGGAGGACGGACGAAGGCGGGTTCCTTCCTTTTTCCGGCTTGGGCATGGGGGAGTGCCCAGAATGTCCATCTGTTTCATTGAGTGTCAATCTGTTCATGTTCCAGAACCGTCTTCATTCAAAACAAGCCGACCCTCTTAGCCGGTCTTCTCGTGGCCTCCACTCGTTGTTCCAGACCGGTCACGGTCCGCTTTCCCGGTCTCCACCCGGTCTCCAGTCTCGGTCTCCCAAGGATGGTCCGGACCGCCGTTTGGGCTGAATGCAGGTCACCCACGCGGAGGCCTTGTTGCACACTGATAAGCTGGAGATGGGGAAGAAGTACCAGTGCCACCCGACGATGCGTTGGTAGTTGGGCGATGGGTCGAGTTTTGGTCTTTTTCCTGCGAGTTGGAGCCATTGATCTTATAAAGGAGGATGTGAATGTATATTCTAGTGGGCCCAAAGCTTTGCAAGTGAAAATGCTTGAATCATCTTGAACCTGGAACCTCAATCTACTCATCTAACTCCTCTTCCTGAGAAGTGGCCACAATCACCTGTTAAACATCAGTCTTACTTCAGGTCCTTTCCTCCCTACCTTGCGCAGTCTGGTCAATCCTTGCTCCCTGTGGGTATGGCCTCCAACCTACTAGTGATGGCCTCCAACCTACTAGCGATGGCCTCCAAAGTGGGTGAATTTGTGGGGATCCTCGCAGCTCGCTTTCAGGTCAGCTGAGCAGTCGCCTTCAGCGTGTGGCTCCCGACAACTCGGACTACTACTTCAAGCCGCCCAACTGCGAGCAGAACAGGAAGTACAGCAACCTCCAGGAGAGAACCTACCGCACCGCGGTCGTCGAACCTACCGCTGCGTTGGGCGACCGGTTCGCGCCCTGTCCAGCCACAGTTCTGTGGAGAAGTGGAGAAAGAGAAGTAGCGAAGGTAGGGAAGGGTAGGGATTTCGCGCCACTGGAACCAGAACCGGTGAACAGTTGGGTTCACCGGTCTCCAAAGAAATGCTTCGAAGTGTCAGTCTGAGAGAGACTTCGGTGGATGTGCAGCATCAGTTTTTGCACCATGGGAGCCCAAGAACTGGCAAGTTCGTGGGTTCTCAACAAAAATGTGTCTTTTGGGGAAAAAACACGATGTGTTATCTGGAGTCTAAAGCTAATGGTGAGTGTTGCTGTTTCTAATCGTGTATTTTGAGAGGCTTTTTGAGTTTCTCTCGGACTACACTTGGTACATCGTATGCCACGTTTCACAAACCAACGTGGATCCATGCATCTAGGGCTACGGGTCAAAACATAGCCTTTCTTCTGAGCAACCCTCAAGAACCCATAGATTTCCACGGGGTCTCCATGGGTTGCCACGGGATATCTAGGGGTTCGCCACGGGTTGGAGGAACAAGCTTTGTCTGAAAGAAAACGGCTACGCGTTATGTATGAGTTCCCAATGGGTTGCCACGGGTTGTTTATCTACGAGTTCCACCTCCCCTGCCCTGATTTGGGGACATGTATTTTTAAATGGGAGCATTCAGGGACATGTGAAAGTTGCTATAGTAAGCCAGGCGTGGTGTCACACCAGCATAGAGGCAAAGGGGCAGAGACGCTACCAGGTGCTTAGGATGGAGTGTTTTGGGAGGATTTCAAGAGAGCACGAGGTTCTTTTCCAAGAAGTCGAGTTTTTCATGGGCGCCATCTTAAAGGACGAGTCTTCTTTTGGTCTTGAACCTACCTTTTTTGCCTGGATCTTCAAACGGCACAAGTTTTTGCCGCATGCATTTTTCAGTGAAGTTTTGGATTCCCAAAGACGCCGTCGGGACGCCCCGTTTAACGCCGTTTCTGTTTGGTTTCTGCCCGTGAAACTGCACCGTCTTGAAGGAAAAGATGTCATAACGGCATTTTTCTCTTGAAAAGGCAAATTCTGTGTGCTGTTTCGAAGATCCAGGTTTTTGAAGCTGATTCCATCGATGACAATTTGATACAATTGGTGGCTACAGGTGGACTCACACCCATCATCCTCCGTCTAGGTGTGTTCCGTATGACACCCTCCAGTTCTTTCTTCCAAACTACCCCAACTCCTTGGCGAGATCGATCGATCGCCAGCCCCCCTGTCCTTCCGTTCTTCCACCAAAGCTCCACCTGTCCTCCCTGTTCGCATCGTCCGCCTCCCAGCCCCCTCGCGACGCTTAGCGACCACGGTCGCCGCAGCGACCAAGCCGTCCGCGGCGCGAGCAGGAGAATCCCGAGTCGCCCCGGAGCCGGCGCGCGCGGCAGATGGCGGCCGCGGCCCAACAGGCGAATGATGGACATCTGGAGAGTGTTAACTGGTCTTAAGATCCTGTAAGCCTTTGAGGAGAAAACTCAGACTTTATGTGATGACTTCTGGGTATGGCAGGTATGGGTTGGCGAGGGTTGGGGCGAGTTCCATTCCCCCATCAACCCTCGATTCTTCTTTTTCTCGAAGGCCACCTTACAGAAGAAGCCTTTGCTGGCACAGATTCGTCAGCCGGTGGCGGCTTTGGAACGCCCGCGCGCGGGGGTGGCCTACAACATCCGGCGCTTGGAGGCCGGGCGCAGCCGGGCGCACTCCCAGTCATGTCGCCAGGCAGACCGTTTGGACTTGTCCTGTTTACATCATTCCGTTTACATGTGTTGTTTGTTCATAATTTTTTTTAAATGCATTTTATGCATGTATACAAATTGCACATTGTTGTTTGCATCGAACACAAAAATGACATCATCGACCGCATGCGGGGTCACGTTGGCCGCCGTTGGCCCATGCTTTTTTCAGGAAGTGTAGCGGCCTCCGCACTGGTATCACTTGCTGCACAGAACCACTTGCTCCATGCCACATGACTTGCTTGTTGGGGGTTTCACCCAAGGACGACCGGCACCTTTGGACGTGAGCCGACTCAGGGTGGTGGTCTCGTGACTCTTCCAGTCACCTTTTAATAGGCGTCAAGATGGGAATATGTAGTAGCGTCCTTGCTCCGTTCGTAGCGATGGCCTCCAACCGGAGAGCGATGGCCTCCAACCTAGTAGCTTCTTTGTTACTAGGAAGAACATGCTTGGAAGCTGTAATGAACGGCCCTACAGGCTCAGGGACCCAAACATGGCACTTCAAACCCAAAGAATTTTGGTTTCTTCACCAATCGAGGGGGTCGTTCTTCACCAATCCATGCAGCTCTTGGCACGTTGGCACAGGAGTGGTTCAGACTCATGGATACCAACAACAGTGGCGAGATCACTGTGCGGAAGTTGATCATCGGAATGATGAGATATCAGGAGCCGGGAGGGAAGTCCGAGATTGGCCACATGGACCACTCTGAAAGTCATCCTCTTCGTCATCCTCTTCGGCCTCTGTACTCGGGCCGAGTACACGAGATTTCGTCATGGAACGTGCAAAACGCAAGGCCCCGAGTTCGGAGCAGGCGGTGGATGATCATGCCAGGCCTAGGGAGTGTAGGTCTCCGCCGCCTGGCCTCCGCCCCCCCACCCATCCCTTTTTTTGGGCTTCTGAAAAAAACCCTCATGGGGGCGACACCCGTCGAACACCGCACCTTTCGTCTTGAGTCCGAGCCATCGACATCCTGAGTCGCTGTGTGCAGCAGTGGCCTCTGCCTTTGTTGACCGAACAGCAGGGCAAACCTGCCACGGAGAGGTCAAGCAAACCGCCAGGCGAGGGCTCGGTGGGGGGTTCCAGAATCGTCCTTGAAGCCCCAATGGACCGCCGCAAAAGAGCGAAGAAAGGTCTCCAATTCTTGTGCACTCCGTAGAGAGAGAGGTCCCACATGGATCTTGGAATCTGGGACCCAGCCACCCTTCGATTGGTGGAGACCTGAACTGGGACCTGACAGAGCAAGGGGATACAGATGGGATCGGATAGGCGAAAAAGGCCTGTTCAAGCTTTGCAGAGCAAGGATCCTTATTTGAGCACCCACCAAAGCAAGGTGTCGTACCCAACAACTTGAAACACGTACATTTTGATGGCGCATGATGGTGAATGCAACGCACGCCCGTACCGATGGCGGTTTCGCAACACATAGCTCGACCGTGACCGTGGGTGGCTCGATCCGATGGGTTTGATGGATGGTGGGAAGCTTGGAGGAATCTGTTTCCTTTGTTCTTTGAATTTGATGTGCAGTACTCTGTACCCTCCCTGAAACTGACATGGAAGATCGTGGAGCGGAAAAAACACATTTTTTTTGTATCCGAAAGAAGCTCTTCCGAAATCGGGGCCGCTTTACTTCCATTTTAGGGAGTGAGGGAGTTTGTACCTTTCCAGGATCTGCCGCAGTCTCTTTGGGTTGGAGCAAATAATTCTTAAACAGTGTGAGTAACCACCATTGAGCGGGTATGTGAACCGACTTCGAGGACACTGAGAGTGGTCGCACTGGGTATGACATGGCAGAAAATCCATGAAAATCCCATCGCCCCGTGTTTAGGACACGAAGACCTTCAATATCTTTCAATAACCCAACATGGTTTAAGAGATGTTTCAGGGACCTACTTCTGAGCTGTTCTCAGAACCGTTTGAGATTCTTTCTACTAAGTGTTCGATTTTCTATTTTTATATGACGGCAGGATACTCATTGTTTATAGTGAAGCATCTGATATGTCCTGGAAGCGTCGCCGACCAATCCCAGCTTGAGGTCGGTGATTGATCCGCAAACGGATGAGCATATAAGGTAGCCTCTTGATGAATAACTTGCCTCCCATTTGGATTGTAAAACCTCTTTTTACATAATACAATTAACATTAATTAACATATCATAATCATAACTTATATAAGTATGGGAAGGGTTACTGTACTTTTGTTACTGATCAAGAGTCTACATGATGGCAGTCGCAGGACATCATGGACTTGATCTACTTGCTGAAGGACCTCGCCGTGGAGAGAGGATGTGATTCACAGATGTTTAGCTGAGCTGCGAAGTCCAATGAACAATGACAGTGATTAGGAAGTCGGACATTGTAACATGGTTCCTCTCGAGAGGCGCCATTGGGAAGGGTCTACTGTATATACTATCTTTACTTTGTGACTGCATGGATAGGTTTTGGTTGAACTTGCACATCAGTCATGGACATGGGGTGACATGGGCGACGACGTGTTGCTTTCGAGAGCTGCAGAGGGTCAAGGCAGAGGGACCACCCGAAAAGACACAGGTTGTTCCAATCTGGCGCCTGCTTGAGATCGCCTAACAAGTGGCATGAACTGAGGACACATGCATTCTTTTGCGGTCTCCAGCACCAACAAGAACAGTGTTGCTTTAAGATGCTCTATAGCCCCAGCCGTAGCAGCCGTCCAAAGCGGAGGGTCAAGGCCACCAGGATGGACCTTGACATCCTGGTCATCCATTTCTGATTGCATGATTTTGAAATGGATTTTGAAGCCATGATTTCAAGGTCATCTATTTCCGGTCTATTTCTGGGAGTCAACGTCCGGTTCTTGCATGATGTTGAAGAAAAGAAGCACACCAGGCATACCAAACCTACCCATTTCTTGACAAGGATGGGATGTGCACTCCCTGAAATAATTAATAATGCAAGTGGAGTTCACCACCTTTTTGGGATTCAGAAAATGGTCATTCCTTTCGGAGCCATGCCATCCACTTCCAGAGTGGGTAAGCCTGTCTACTGCAAGAAGGTAAAATGGATACAAACGGCTTCCATCTTCTTGCCCTCCACACCAATGAATAAGCAACGCAGCCTGGACATGCCTGGACCTCCACCGCAAACCATCCACCCCACACTGAAAGATCCAAAGCCTACACCCTGGAAGACGATCCCATGGAACCTGAAAACCCCTGGTTGGTAGAGGAAAACCATCTTCCATGGGACCAGGAAGGACCCGGGTCTATGTGAGTTGACCTCGGGAGTGTCGCCGTCTTCGGTGCAAGGAGAAGTCCAGTGGGATCTGGCAACTGAAGCCCTCCGAGCGCCCCACTGCTGGCAAGTTGAGCCGGGAGAGCGGGAAGATGCGGGAGAGCGAAGCGAGAGCGGACGGGGGAACGGGCCAGTGGAAGAGTGGCTTTCAAGCTGGTGGAAGGGAGAAAGATTCAAAAAACCTGACTTAGAAGACAGGAACTGCAGGTGTTTCGAGGTGTTGGTGAACAAAACAACCTGACGATAACATGATAGAACCGGCGACCCACCGTCTTGGGAGCCTGCGGATTACCGCTGCCCACTACAAAGTGACAGGGAGGAAACCCAATGGGTTTGGTGTCTCAACAAGGAGCCAGCCAACCAATGGGTTTTTGGTCTTTGGCGTTTCATGCAAGCGTCGCCTGCCATGGTCACCCTCAGCTTTGCGTAAGGTGAACATAATTAGATCCTCAGCATCGTGCAAAATGGAAAATGCTAACTGCCGTATGGTTCATCCGTGTGGCGAACCTTCACTCCCGGCCGCCAGGCCGCCTTCAAATTGTAAGTGGAACGCCTTCCTTGATGGAAGTACTCCCATAAAGCTGTACAAACCTCATGTCCGTTCGGAACAACGAACTGCCCACTAATGTAAGTGGTAGCGCTAAGGTAACCCAAGCGTCGAAGACCGCCTCGGGTGCAAACAAACGAGAAGGCATGTAGGTGTGAAGACACCCACTTCATGAATTGCACAAAGATCCGAAGCTGACCGTTCAGATCTGCCGCACTAGTGTCTGCTGCAAGAGAGTTCTCCCGAAGGACATAGGCCGAAGGCCTTGCTTTAGTCTTTTTCTTAAAAGCACGAACATAGACCGGAGTCATACTTCCTGTCGATAGTGCAAATGAAACGTAGAGCTCGAGCAAACTAGAAGCCTGTTCGTGAGGAACGTTGTCAATGAAACCAACGTGTTGGAACCATTGTAAAAACCTGTCCGTGAACTCTTTACCGAAAGGTGCATCGTCGCCGACATCGTCACCCAAGTTATGAAACGGATAAGTACACGGCTTTCGTGAGAAAAAAATTGTCAAAAGTAGGTGTTGTCTGTGTAGTCGAATTGTGTTGGTTATCCGACTTTGCCATAGCTTTGGTCGTGGCTGTAACCCAAAACCTGTGGAAGTCGTGAAGTCTCTGTGCCTGATGTTCAACATCCCCGGCCAGCTTTGTCAACTTGTTCAACACACTCTTGTGGTCGTGCAGGATGACTTGCTTGGCAACCCTGTCAACAACGTCATTCCATCTTCCCGCCCACCTGACAAACGCAGAACTACTGGTTTGCCAGTCAACATGCGAGTCAACTTTGGTGATGTGTATCAGATTGGGTGGGCGTTGGAGGATGTGAACCCGAATGCACTGCCAAATATCCCAATGTTTGCATGGTACAATATGTGTGCCAAGGCAACGCGCCATGAGAAAGGATTGCAACAAGTCCACAACAGCAGAACAATCCGTGAAAAACTGTGGAGCCCATACACTCTCCAAGGCTAGCAAAATAGCCCACGCCTCTCCTCGGTAGGAACTGTGATCAGCCCCTGGGACCAAAGAGGCCTCCAATACTGAACAACAATCCCCGTCAACTGCAATAGCCGCCCCTGAGGAGATGGTGAATTGCGGTGTGTCTTGTAAGAAGGCCGACCCATCAGAAAAGACAGTACAAGGGCTTGCTTGAGGAGGCACTGAGAGTGCCGGCCACTGGTCTGGCAACTGACACTTCACCTGCCACCCCTCCCAAGACGTTTCTGCAATGCCGAAATTCCAGAACGCTTCGGGCATCTGCCCCAAGGTTCTAAACAACACGTGATATTCTTTGCGCAACTCCTGAAGAGCACCACAATGAAACACTCTGTGCTGTTTGGAGTCGACTTCCCCACATAATGCACACTTGTCATCCTTGACATTTCGACTATAATGACAAAGGGCGTTGCGTGTAACATTTTTGCCAACAGCAAGTGCCAACAAGGAGCCTCGATCTCGCTCATCGAACTGGCTGAAAGATTTGTCGAAGATTGCTTGGTCAAAGGCCGCAATGTCAAAACCCTTCCTATGGGCAAGTTGCACCGAAACCTGGTGAGTCCAAGCTGCATGCATGATGTGTCGAACATGTTTAAAGGAGTCATTGATCCAATTGACCTTCAATCCGGAGCTATGGCGAATAACACCCCCGGATAAACATTTCCAACCCACGCAAACCAGTGCCGCTTGTAGAATGGCTGCTGGACCGACACATCTCTGACCATCCAAAGTCAAACGTCGCAAGAATCCCGCGCGATCCCAAGGATGAAAACAGAAATATTTCCTCCAGAAGCGAAATTTGCGAAGGATATCAGCAAGTTGAGGATCGGTCAACTTGCCGCAAACACTTGTGGATAGCCAGGGGTTAGCCCCGGAGCGGTACCTACCCAAACATTGCACCATGGAGGTACGTATTGTTCGCCATTCAGCCTCCGTGCGGTTCACCAATGCCGCTCCATGTGCAATGACTCCAGTGACAATGGTATTGGTCATCACCTTCTTGAACTGTTTAGGCAGCATCTTCCGGTGTGTCCGGTCGAGGGCCCGTTTGGTCTTTTGTAAACGTAATCGACTTTTAGTTTTGACCTTGGCCTTGCCATAGGAAACATCACAACCAAGGTCCGTGGCACGATGGTAGACAGCAACTGGGCGACCGTAAATGGCTGTATGTTGAATCTTCTGCCGACCTTTGGACGTGTTGGACCACACCCAACTCTTCTCAGGACTAATAGCCATTTGCAAACAATATGTGAACATCTCCAATCGCCTCGTGGCTGCTCGAAGAGTGTTGGATGTATTGCAAATAATTCCCCAATTGTCAGCAAAAAAGTTGGGTTCAACCTCGGGATGATGAAAAGTTAAATAGGATGACGCCCACACACTCAACATAAGCATGACAGCAACGCTGAACGCACAGCCCTCGGGAAAGCCACAGGTGGACCGAATAGGTTGTCCGATCTGGTGCGAAAGTTCGGCATATCTGGCCACATCGTCAAGCATACCTTCAAGGGCGCGAAGGTAAGCAACCGGAATACCCATCAACATCAGTGCCCTTAACAACGGGATCCTCGGGATCCGGTTGAAGCATTTGACAAGGTCGACGACCAACCCGAACACTTCACAACCATCATCTGTTGCTTCGTCAACCACGATCAATGTACGAGCAATAACCATGTCAGCACTCAATCCTGATGCCGCCCTCGATTTTCCTTCTTGCAGCAATTCTTTTCAGGGTCTCCCTATTCTAATACAACCATATGGTGTTGACAGTTTGTGGGAGTAAAGCTTGTGCACTTCAACGCACTTCAACGGCTTCTGAACTCACCACCCGGCGGCTTCCATGCTGACTCCCCATGACCCCGCAGGATGATATGCAGTGGGTCCGTGTTGCTTGGTAGCACTCGTCAGCCGCCAAGCACTTGGAGGAGTCGATCTGTCGGGCTTGGAGAATTCATGAGCATTGCGCGTGCGGATGGCATACGCTCAATGGCAGAAAGGTAACCTTTTCAACTGTTTGGCCTTTGGTTTGGCCTTTCACGGGACCAAAACACTGGGACTTCTCCCTGATGTAGACTTGAGGCAGGCCCACATTCAGGACACAGGCGTCATTCAGACAGGGGCGAGAATACCATTCGATTTCGGGTCTAGACCTGGCTGGGGATGGGGTGCCAAGGGTGCCACCCCAAAAAACTTGGGTTACCAAGGACCCCGTCCAACATTTGCAGGATCATTGGGTGTGTTGGGGCTACCCAGCGCATGTACATATAGAGATCTCCTGGTTCTGGAGACGCACTGGATGGTCCTGGCTAGGTTCTTTGGTCTGAACTGAGCTACATCTCCGGAGTACCCTCCAAGCTTGCTTCACCAAGTAGTTCACTTCCCCAACATGAATAGGACAATGTATGGATTTCTCCAGATGTTAAGCTCTGATGGCTCCCAGTGCTTTCTTTTGACCGAAGATCAGAATTGGAAGTTCTGAATCTCACTCCCGCAGCAGCTGCTTTTGACCCAAGCAGCCCCCTTTTCTCCAGCTTCCAGACCCCTCTTATGAAACACATTCAAGTCAGTCACACACTGAAGCTCCAGAGCCCTGTCCACCACCAGAAGCGACTCCCAACCCCCCGCGCTCTGACCAAAGGTGCCGACCGACTCGACGGAGAGGTCCACGGAGAGTGACCCGAGCGTGAAGGGGTTCGTCCATTCCGACGGCGTCAGGGCGTTCTCAGCGAGTTGGGACAAGACGGCCATTCAACCATGACTTGGCCTGAGTTTGTGGAGTTCTTCCGTCAGTCTGGCTCCTTGGCCAGATCTGAAGGTGTCCTCCCGCTTTTTTCAGACACCTTGTTGAGTGAGGGGAGTTGGCTTTCCGAAAAGGCGGGTCATGGGACGGTTTCCTACTTGTAGCCCCAGTGGAGCTCAATCACTACGAATTAAAACCTCACCGGCACTTCCAGGCTTGGGTTTTTCTTTACCGTCACTGGGATGAAAGATGGAGAGAGAGTGGCGCATCCGGGAAGACGGCTACCACGCTAAAGGGCCGAACGCGCCCAAAGGGCCGTTCATCCCGTTCTCCCCACGGACGGTGTCCGTTCTCCCCGCTTGGAGGTGTCCGTTCTCCCGAGCTGGAATCTTGAGGGTTGGTCTGAGGGTCGGTTTTGACCCAGATGATTGAGATATTGCATTTCTACTAGGAGCATTCTTGCTCCGTTCGTAGCGATACCCTTGTTTCTAGTAGCTTCTTAGTTACTAGATCTAGATGTTACTAGTAGTAGGCATTGAATGGCTATGACATGCTACGAACGTGATGAGTTGGCACACGTTGTGCGTACCTTTTTTTGACCTGGCTTGAAATGCCTGAGGTTCCAAGCACCTTGAGTCATACCATCGGAATTGATTCTGCAACTGGTTGTTTGACCAATTCCATAGAAATAAAGCCATGTGAATCCCCCAACTCTCCGATCGAACACGTCGAATCTCGCGGGCCTGTCCAAAAAGCATGGAAGGCGCCTTCAGTCGCCTTCCAAACCCCAACTCGAGGCCTCTTGCTGGAGTATGAAACACGTGATGAGCTGAATTCATCCTCACTGGGAGAGACCAGCATTGCTGCACAGTCCGGAAGCCCAGAAGTAGGTGGTCGTGGAGCGACAGGTGGGTCGATGGGTGGGGTATGGTGGTGGATTTGTTTTCCGGGAGAACCCCACTGGCCCAAAGGGTTTTGGAACATTTTCCTTCTTCCAGGGGTCTTATAATACACACCCATATGATCCCATATGAAGAACCATCCAGGAGCAAATGGAGATGGTGCGAAGTGGTCTAGCTTCTTTGATGGACATGGACTCAGGATGTGAGTCACTCTAGTCGGCTGTAAGATGCTGATCTTTTGATGGAATGCAGCACAGAAACCATGTATGATGACTTAGTTCTGGGAAGGAGGAATTGTTTGTGGGAGCTCCTGCACAACTCCAGATGTAAAGGAGATACAGGAGGATCGTGTATCGTTAAATGCCATTTAGTTCATTGCCAGGCCAAACAATGCCATCAACAGGGGGGCCTGAGAAACCGCATAATCTAAAGGGTCTGGCCGTTGGCCGTTTTGCACTTGTGACTCTCCTATAAATTCTCATCTTGAAAGAGAGGTGGACCACAAAGGGGCTATGAACGGGTCGTGCTGTATCCATCCCTTTGAAGTGGTTCCATGGAAAAGACGATGGACTATAGACATTGCTTGATGATATTTGTAGATATATTATTTTGATATTATTGGATGATATTTGTAGCCCCCAGACCACCGGCTGCCACGGTGACCGGCCAGTTTGAAGAAGCAAGAGGATGAGGAGCAGCGCTTCCAAGCTCTCTTCTTCAGCAGGGAGCGCCGAGGTGCGGCACAGAGTCCGACCCAAACGAGGACCCAAGGTGCTGAGCTGGTTGGTCTGAGGCTCGATTCTTTTGCGAAGAGCTGAGCGGAAAGCAGAGATGTTCCGGTAGGGTTGGCAGATCTTAGATCAGCAACAGCTAGTCACCTAGTCTCAAGTAGCATCTGGGAGAAGACTAATCCTTAAGCGAGGATTTGTTGGGAATCCATCTCTTGTTGAGGATTCCATGGTCCAAGCTTGCCAGTCAAGTACCAAGCGTACCAAGCATCAAGCGCTAAAACGGATTCCGTGACTTGAATGTCCTGCTCGTGCCTTTTGCAATAGAAGTGCGTCCTCAGAGAGCACTCCAGGTCAACTCTCCAGGTCAACTCTCCAGGTGTGTGGTTCCCCTTCAGTGTTTCAGGTGCTTTGGCTCCGCGTTCCAGTCGCCGGCAAAGCGCTCCTGAGAACTGTGCGCTGGCACAGACGACCTGAGGGCTAGAAGCACCTGAGTGCAAGAACTCCAGACTCTGCTTGTATGGTTGCTTCCCAACATGTTTAAAACACCTATCAGCGCCGGCATTGACGTTCACCCCCCTCTTTTTCAGGTTCGGGAGAGAAATCGGGCACCCCAATATGGGGGACCGAGGGATCGTGAGATCCTGCGACTTGGGAGAGTGTGCGCATGGCACCGCACAGGTCGCACGTAGACGGTTGAATCATAAAACACCCTTATTACATCCTATTACCATAAGGGTGTTTTACGATTCAACCGTCTAACATTGCGGATACTCTTAGACTCTTTACCATAATGGGTCTTATGAATGAAAGAGTCTAACATTGCGGATCAGATCCGATCGTTTGGCGACTTGGTGCACTCAGGGCAAGTCCCGTCGCCTTACCAAGCGTTTGTGCCACCATCGAACGAGGCACATCAAGGTTTGCTGAAATAAGTGGGGCCCAAAATAGAAGACGCCAGTCACTGACTGCTTACATTTGGTATACATTTCAGATTCATTTCATTTGGTATATATTTGGTATACATTTCACTTACGTTATGATTCAGACCACATGTTCTGTCATTGAAGACTGGTCAATTGTGGCTGCTTTTGGTGAACATGACCCAGTCACCAGTCGAAACCTGGTTGCATCAAGGGACTGCAGTTTTATCACAGGGTTCCTGTACGACTTTCTCGTACGACTCGTACGACTCAGAGTAGCAACGTCGGGGGTCGGCGAGAGAGGAAGACGAAGACGAAGACGAAGACGAAGACGAAGACGAAGACTGTCGGGTGATGCGAAAAAGGAGGACTCAGGAGTCGTTGTATTTCATGGTGTCTTCAAATTAGTTGGAAACACTCCACACTCAAGGTGAAACACTTTGGATGCACACTGAGGAGGGACAATGAAGTGAAGGCACCTTTCTACCAGGGATTGTCAGAACCATTGTTGTTTTAATTGCCTTTAAAACCAAACAACCATTTCTTGGTCAACAGTTTCTTGAAAAATGGTCTTTGAAGGCCAGGGTTTGGACCATTACCCTTTGGGGGTTCCAGGCAACTGTTACAAGACTTGTGGACATTTTCTGCATGAATCAGTAGCTATACGGATGATGGCAAGCGGGGGTTGAGGGCTTTCCAGCTGGACCAGCAGAGTAGAATCAGTAACCACCTTAAAGATATACATCCTGGTGTTCCGCACAGATGATGTGTGGTATTGGTCGGGTTCTCTTGTTTAAGCCTGAAGAACCATATCAGCCTCATTTCAATGTTTCTTGGAAACACAGACACCGCAGACTCTCTCGTGACCGCTGGACCCACACAGAGACCGCGAACGTGCGGTGTTGCTTTGGTAGCGAACGTGCAAGACGCATGAGACCCTGAATCTGTGCAATGCCCGACTCCATCTCGCACCGTTTGTGCGTGAAGCGAAGAGTCGAAAATTGGAACCACAGGAAGCTTCGTAGTATATTGAATGTTCCCAGAAATTCCACTCATCTCACCCCAGCTGGGAGTCCCAAGCTTTGCACAATGAGCTCATCTTCGGAGAATCCTGTACGACATCAATCTGCTTGGGCCCTGAAATCACCGGGGTCGACCGTGAACCCTCCGTGTATCCATATTCCCACCGCCGGACCACTGGGTTTGCTTGGGCGTTTTCTGTAGTTTTGATCCACATCTCTTCAACTGGGGGTCCAGCAGCGGCAACGGAATTTACCAGTTTTTTCAGGGCCAAGCCTGCCCGCCAATGGTGGCCATGTTCCAGAAACGCTCCTTCCCGGGAAGCCATGTTTCACTCGATCTGAAAAACACCAGTAACTCCAGTGTAACTCCAGTGCCCTAGGCTTCCAACCACCATGAATTTAATAGGCTGAATCCCGAATCAACTAAGGATTTGACACTACAAACACCAGGTAGGGCAACCATGTTTTTAATGGTCGAAGGGAAGTCTAGGGGTGTGCAGTTTGGTTTCGTACCGCTACGGGATTTGTGTGCAACAAATTGGTTCTTCACTCCAACTTCAGGGCTGCCTGGCCAACTTCAGGGAGGTGCTCTTCCCAATGGAGGTGCGCGTAGACTTCGACCCCAGACTTTCGCCACCCGCAGGGCCTCGAAAACACGGAAAAGGGAAGCAAAGGGAAATGACAAGAAGTGGGTAGAAGAGAAGCATCAACATCCAAGGAATGACAAAGAAGGAGTTTCCTAATATACTTTGGTATAAGCATGCATCAATCTATATTAATATCATCATTGATAATAGACAGATATTAATGCACATATATAATAATAGTAATATTCAAATTGTTATTTGCTTCATTCTACTTCGGCCTTTTGATTTCATGGGTGTACTTAGGTGTACTTTTCGAGAGATGTCAAGTGCGTTCCGTTTGTTTATAGTCTGGCTTTGGGAATGAGAAGTAACGCGTTGGAACGGACATGGCAGTGGCTGCATTTTCGTTTGTCTAGTCGGAAGGGAACCCTTCGTTCACCGTCGTTCCCCTCAAGAGATGGACACACTGAGCGACCGAACAATTCCAGGTTCCCTCGCTCCTCTGGATCCGGTCATGTAGAAAGCAGTGCTCAATCTCGAGGTTGGGAGGTTTTACTTGGTTCGGACTGGACTGGTAGGGGGAACCCCCCCCAAAAACCTCCTTCCGCCGCAAAAAACTCCTCAACTTCTTTCGGTCCCTCAACGTTCCAAACGGTCGTGGTGAGACGTAGAGCGGGGGGAAGACACAGAGACCAGAGCGCTGGGAGAACAGCCGGCCAGATGAATGTGGAGAAACCTGACTCGGACACCACGAAGTCGGAGGCGAAGAATGAGAGAAAGGCCAGACTGCCGGTAGGGCACCCACGAACGGCCGGTGTCTTTTCAGAGCCAGTGAGGATCGAGTTCGGGGGCGCATGGACCTCATCCACGTTTTGATAAGATGTTCAGTGGTCTTGGGAAGGCAATCAATGGCAATCAGATCAATGAAATTCCTGGCCTCCCAAATCCCGTGAACGTCTGAATGTGCACAGGAGTGGTTGGAAGGATTCCACGTCTCAGACGGAACCCTTCGGACACCGAAAACCAAGTAAACCAGGCTCGATGGCTTTCGCTGCACCAGGGCGTTACCAGGGCAGCCCGGGTTTGTCCCGTTTTGGGTTCAACTGATGAACCAAACTTTGGATCCACTCGGGCAAGACAGATGCTGATCGGTTTCGGGCCCTTTTTCAGCATGTTTTCCAAAAGGCACAACATGCACCCTGCTTTGCTTGTGCGCAGCTTGCTGCTTGCTGCGCACCCAAAAAAAGGGTGGGGGGGGGGTTCAGAGCGGAGGACGCCAAAGCGGTCATACCGGACGGTCGTCTGTGTTCCAGTCGATGTCAGAGCTCGGCATGTCCAGGAGAAGGACGCCAAAGCTCGGAAGAAGGCGCACGGGCTCGGCCTGACCGAAAAAGGAGCTGCGGCGACGCGGCGTGGGGAACAACAAGGGACCCAAAATACCAGAGACTCCCTCGGAATCCAGCCTCAAATGGGGAGGGTTGGGTTCGTATCCGGGACCTTCCGGAAGGTCCGGTGCCAAGGATTCATGTGGCTGCACGACTGGAGCAGCCCGGTCAAACCGAAGGGTCATGGGAAGCGCCTCAGACAGCGTATCGTTGGTAGACCAAGGTCTCCTGGTTCCATGACCCACAGCAATATTGAGAATTCCAGCATATTGCATATTGTAGATCCAAGCGTGGAAAGGCGCCTAAAAGAGCTTTGGTGTCCAATCTTGTCTATAGTACTTTCTTTTATCGGCTGATCATATTGATTCATTGGACCTTCATCCAAGGTCCATCTGCCCAATTGCGCCCTGTCCACAGCCCCAAGCAGCCTCAAGGAAGCCTCGTATTTGTGGCTTTTCAGGGTGCATTTTCATGTAACTGGTCAAATCGCCTGTCGTCGCAGGCGAAGAAGGCGGAGTGAGTGGATGGAAAAGACTGCGCTACAGCTCATGGGCTGGATGGTGTTCTTTCCATCTCCAAAGATTAGAGGCTCTGAGAAGAGGACTTCTTGTGATGTTTTCTACTTTCAAGAAATCACTGCAGATATTTGTGGCACTGAGCCACACAAAGACTTTGTAGCTCAGAGACCTGCAAACTATTGTAGACCATTGTAGACCTAATGTTCTTGGTTTTTTTTCAGGTTTCCGGTTTCTTGCTCTTAATAGGGTGCCCTATATTAGCATCAAAAGTCGCATCCCCTATCAGAGAACCTTTGCTCGTTGAGCCAGTTGGACTGATTTTATGTATTATTGATCTTGTCATCTTTGCAATTGGTGCATGGTCAGCACGATGGTGAGTCTTAAACAGAGCGGTCCAGGCTCGAACGCTGTTTTTGGAGCGAGGTGGTATACCGGCCCCCCACCCTTGGGTATACCTAGACCGTGCAGATCCAAGCTCCCCACACCCTTAAACCAAGAAACCATGTGGACATGAAGTGAGTAGCTTCTTGCTCCTAGCAGTAATGCCCTTTGCTACTAGTAGCTTCTTGTTACTAGTAACGATGCCAGGAGCTACGTTCGTAGCGTCCTTCCTCCTAGTGCGCCAGCGACACGAGTCCAGGTCTGACCGGTCGCCCGATTGTTCTCGGCCGCGGATCGCATCGAATCTGGGCTCAGAGTACAGAGATTACAGACATACCAACAGCGCGTGAGTTGGTGTGCCGGTCCACGGCCCTACAAGCCGAAAGAGGCTGGTTGAGGATGGTTGGGACGGGGATGGAAGCTCTTAAAATCGATTCAATCGGTAATTATTTCAGGAGTCCTAGCTGTGTGAAGTGATGTTGTCAACACTGCTGCAACACATACAGCTTGTGCCTTCGAATAAAAAAATCGGAGTTGGTGCTCGAAATGCGAGCTTCCCCAGTCAGATGAGTGGTTTCTGTGGTTCAGTAAACCATGATCAGGAGGCTCTGATTGTAAACGCAAGACATATTATCATGATTATCATAATTATATACGGTATATAATTAATTAGTTAAATAATCGTAAATGATCCTTGTGTGTGAACCTCCTTGACAGACCAACGACACTGTGATTTTCTCACAGGTTATTGATGCTGCTATTGAAGATTTTCTCACAGAGCTCGCCGTGTGTCACGGGACATGAGATCGGATGACATGTCTGGGACCCCAAAACCCAGTTCACTCTCCTTTGCTTGAACCATCACCCGGTCACTATAAATGCATAGGTAAATGCACATTCGTATAATTTGTTACTTTTTTGAATATATATATATATATTTAGGGAATGAGTGTCAGAACACCCCTCCCTTGGTAGAGTTTGGAACCCTAAACCCTAAACCACCCACTCCGGTGCCGCTCCTCAGTCCTGACGGCATGCCGGTGGGTCCGGACCCTGCCGCCTTCTGGTCTGCATCTGGAAGCACGCTACGGTGGGATGGGGGGATCACCATGAGTCACCAAGAAAAAACGACACATCGCACGGAAGATTTCAAGGGGACACCTAGGATGCTATAAAGTTTTTACATGTTACATATAGTTATAAGTTTGACTTTTGGAAGAGCTCTACCAAAGCACCGTGACCCTTATCTCAGCAGGTGATCTTAGAAACCGGTTGGTGTTTCGGCCCAGCTGGCAGTGTTTGGGCCCTGGTTGCCTACGAACATCCTGGTGGGCCTTCCCACCAGTACCGACCTACCGCCCCAAAGTTTTTGCACACACCGTGGAGGTCGAGGCCGAAGTTCAGTTGGCCGCGCTGGTCACTGCATGACCAAGCTGGTGGCTTGGACAGGGTTGGTGACGGGTGGAGAACGCTTCTTCAAAGGGTACGGGCACATGAGTTTCACTGAAGAAAGCTGAGTCTGCTGTCTAAGTTTAGAAAGCATTGGAGCATTCTGCTGATTCTGAAAGCTGATTCTGCTGATTTCTAAACTCTAGAAAGCATTGGAGTGTCTAAGTTTAAGACAGTTTATCAATAGACCATTTTAGATGGCATGGTTGGGGATTCTTTTAGATCTAAGGGGTCCACGATGTCTCAAACTCACAAAAATGAGCTCTTTCGTGTTTTGGTGCTTGCTTCCTGTACCACGGCAGTCACTTCCAGGGTAAGGGCGCCTACGGCATGCCACGCACAGTGGTAAGGGGCTCGTTCCACACCGTGCCGACATAGAACTCCTAGACCTAGACGTGGCGGTGCTGGTGTCTCCCGTGGTTCCGCAGCCGGAATCGAGTGAATCCGCGGTGGGGGACGATGTCCAGCAACCGTGCCTTGAGAAGAAGGCACGACTGGGCTCCAAAGCTTCATAAATAGTCTCCATTCACCGTACCTGCGAAGGTACTTGGATCCGGGGGGTTGTTGGGTCTTCAGACATGTCACAGATCCCAAGTAGACCCGAAAGCTGACCTTCAAACACCATTTCTTTTGGGGGTCACTTAGCACTGACTCGGTACCCCCAAAAACAGACAGACGTTCACCAACCTGCAACCATTGGTGGGTCCAACCAGTGGTCCGAACGGCACCTGCCAGGCAGAACCCGAACATTGGCCGGTCCGGTCTCCCAGTACCTCCGGGGTGGGTGCCTAGGAGCTGAGCATAGCTGACCTGCGATGAGCTGCGAGTTCGGTGCCTGCGCGTTCCTGACCACGGAAGCAGATCACCTTCAACTTGACATCAAAAGCATCAATTTAGCAGGACTTTCGGTGTTTTGTATTGTCTTTCTTTTTTTTTTCCGTATCTCTTGCTCATTCTTGTAATCTAATCTATGGATCTCTTCGTCCGTTGAGTACCAGATCATGTAAACCTGGGACATCCCGGGTTTGCCCTTTGTTTTCGGATGATTCTTCTATAGGAATCTATAGTATATAAAGTATAGGATAGGATATACATGATCAATGATACAACAGGTCTTATCTTGCCGGGTGAGCCAGGTGGTTTCGTGAAAGATCTGGCGAACCACTTCAAGGCTGAAAGCGTTGGAAACATCACGTTGGGAGAGTTTGGGGTGTTGACAATAAGGACTGGCATATTTACCTACTCCCGTGCAGATGAACAGGAGCCCCCAAAGCATTAGGTTGGTATTCGGAAGATCGTCTTGTCCCACGGGTCAATTTGCAGGGGCCATGGGAGCGTCTTGTCTGCGGGGGCACATTGGGGTGGTTGACCTGGTCAACCTTTTCGAATCCCATTTGGAGCGTTTGGGATTGAAGTGCCTCAGAGATGGAGCACACCAAGCTGCTCGGACACCGCTCATGTTGGCTGAGGTAGTGCAGCCCTGTGCGAACATGATGCTTGGACGAATGAGCACGGGGTTTGATGGGTGACGAGAAACACAATGACTTTGGTTTGCAGAGGAAAGCAGTCTTCCAAAATGTTTGTTCAGGTTCTATGTGAAGATTTTATGAAGATGCCCTAGACAAAAGCACCATGCTGCTGCCGAACATTGATGTGCACTATTAATTGATGTGCATTATTCATAGGTCTTTTATGGTATTTTTTCCTTTGTCCTGTCAGAGTTCCCCCAGCAACAGGCTGGTAGGGGACACATCTGGAGTGGTGAACTTTGCACATTCAGTCGGATCGAAGTTTGGGTCGGTTCCCCCCTGCTGCGTGTCCTGGGTGTTCTCACGCTCGCAATTACCCGAGAGGTTGCCCCAAGGCACGGTGCAAGGCATGCAGGTTTTTGTGTTGGAATTGTTCGCCATTTGACCACTGCCATCGTCCCAAATGCATCCAGTGGGTGCACGCTCCAGCGCATTCATGACCTCCAGTAGTGCCTATACCTCGCCGGAGAAATGGATATAGCGGGGACATATAGGTGGTGGATGTCGAGCTTAAATATGTAATATATATATACACATTGGATCCGTCCTATTAGCTGTAGCAGTCGGTAAACAATTATCACAATTTTTAGAGAAACGCCTTTACTAACCCTAACCATCATTTCAAATTGCCGGGCCTATGCACTCAAGCATTTGACACAGTTGTCCGGATCTTCTGTTGCCTTGAAAGCACATTCCAGAAGGCATCTGCCTGCTGTTTCATCATTCATGGTTCATCCACCTGGCATATTTGGTGAATCTATTGCTCCAACCAGAACTGCATTGACTTTCCGGGAAAACGAAACACTCTGGCACAAGGGCAGAATCCTTTTCTATCGAGGTCAGTGGCTTTGGAACATATATGCGGCACAAACTCCTCAGTGGAAGTGGAAGATTGATTAAAACAGGCCTGGAATATCCCCCAAGCGTACAGAGTGCACATTTGCATTTGAGCTTTTCCTGCAGACATGACTTTTCCAGTCATGACTGTTAATTGAGCAAAAGCCTTCTCATTTGGATTGTAAGACCTCTACATATGGAGGGGCTTTATTCATCCACAGTCTACATGACCGGCAGGTTCCGCATGACTGGCAGTCCACAGACTTGCTTTCTGTCGCCAAGCGCGGATCCGATCAGTCGGAGCAAGATGATAACAGCGGAGGACCTTCTTGGTCAATTCTGGTAGAGGCACCTGATTGATCGGATTCCTGATCCTCCTCTGTTTCAGAATATATGTAGAGTCCCAGCAACTCTTCGACGTTGCGCTGAATCGCCGGCCGATCACCTTCCACATGCATATTTGCCCGACACCCGCCACTTGGCGTGATCTGAAAGCATTTGTCCGGCCTCAGGATGCCAGTCGGAATGGTCTATGTTCCGGGCATGACGAGTCCAGGCATCGCGGTGCCGTATGGTGCCGTGCAAGGGAATTCTGGGTCAACGATGGCGGGTGCCTGAATCAGGTCGGTAGAGATTGGCTGGTCACCATAGAGATACGACAATACAAAGAAAGTCCAAGAGATAATGAAAAACACTAGCAGTCACAAAGTCACCAACATTTCGATTGGGACAAGTCCTTTTTTCTTTTGTTTCCCACCTGTCAGGTGAGGGTTGTTAGATTTTATGTCAGCTGGCGTCCTCCTCCTCGTCCTGCTCGTCCTCCACGTCGTCCTCAACCGCGAGGTCCGCTTGGCAGTGTTCCCCGCCGGACCTCAACCAGCACACAACCACAACCACAACCACAACCACGAACACACAAACACAAACACGACCAAACCACAATCACAAACACACAGCCGCAAACACAACCACAAAGACATAAGCACAATCACAAACACACAATCACAAGCACACAATCACAGCACATAACCACAAACACAAACACAGCCACAAACACATCCACCACACACAACCACAAAGACAACCACAAGCACAGTCACAAGCACAACCACAAAGACACAACCCAGACAAACACAATCACAACCACAAGCAGAACCACAAACACATCCACAAACACAGCCGCAAACACAACCACAAGCGCATCCACAAACACACAATTTTAAACATACAGCCGCAAGCACAAACACAACCACAAACAAAATCCACGAACACACAACCACAAACACATAACCACAGTCACAGCCACAAACACAACCACACACAATCACAAACACAAGCAAAGCCACAAGCAAACAACCACAAAACACAGCCACAAAGACACATGTACAGCACACAACCACAACACACAAGCACGGGACACAACCGCAACACACAACCACAAGCACAGCACACAACCACAGCACACAACCGCAATCACAGCACACAGCCCGAGGACCCACAAACAATGTCGAGAGCCACAAAACTCACGACCATGGCAACATGCTCCTCACCATGGCATGAAAACAAATGATTGACATGTCATGGTGGAGATCACTCGAAGTAGAGCATTTGTTTTGGCAAACTCTCAGAAACGAGTTGATTTGGCAGTCAAATCAGCTCAGGTTGTCATCCCTCAAGCGTTATGAAGGAAGCAGATTCGAAAGGAGACTATGAGTGGCTCCCGCCCAGATGGATGTCACTTTCTGTTTGATTTTGCGCTCACAACCCGCTTGTACTGGATACAGTCTGTTTTAAGACTGAGACTCGCCAACCCATGGGTCTTAGTCGAAGTTTCCTTTTACTAGCAGTCTTTGGGGGTTTATTTATTATACACACCAAGTTACGATATGGAGAGTTGCCAGTGTAGGCCACAATTCCTCCATCCGTGCGCAGGCCAAGTGCTGTTGAATGCCGATTGCTTGAATGTCTCCAATGACTCCACTTGGTGGAACACCTCAAACCAGACGATACCAGTCCCGATAGCAGTGCAGAGCCAAGCCATGGGCCATGCCGTGGGCGTGCCCGGTCTGCAGATGCTGCAGATGCAGCAGGTGCAGCAGATGCAGCAGGTGCAGCAGGTGCAGCAGATGCAGCAGTTGCAGATGCAGCACGTGCAGATCCCACCAAATCTGTTGCAGGGAATGCACCCAATCCCTTCCCTTGCGCAACAACAGAACTTGCTGCATCAGACCCAAATGCAAGATGCTCGGCAACAGCAGCAGCAAGGTTCCATGCAGCCTCAACACCAATCTACAATGCAGCAAACGCCAGGATCCACACAACTGCAGCAGGCGCGACAGTCGCAGCTGCAGGCACAACAGGAACTGCAGGCATTTCTTCACCAATTGCAACAGGTGCCACCGGTGCAACAGGTGCCAAAGGTGCAACAGGACCAGGTAGCTGTCCCCATGCAACTTCCATTGCAACCACTTCAACAGAATCAACTCCCCCCCACGCTCGAAGCTTGACTGCAGAGTGGACGTTTTGGGGGGTTTTGAGGTTTTGAGCTCTGAAACGTGGATGGCTTTCGGGATCCTGTCTGAGTCACCTGGTCGAAACGCTCACCGGACACCGGGCCGGACCGGTTTCAGCACTCCAAGTCAACGTTTCAGATGCTCGATAAGGATTTGAAGATTTGGTGATTCTGGTCAGATTTTGTGGAACAGATGCGAACATTTTGTACTGTCCCTTTGAAAAGGGCGTGCATGTTCCTTCAATTGGACCAAACACAATCCTCTACAAAGAAGTGCCTGCATGTCCCTCACTCCTCAGACTCTTCACTCTGACCTTCAGACCGGCTATAGTTGGCACCACAGCACAGCTCATTTTTGGGTACAAAAGGCTGAACCTCCTGCGCGCTGGTTGGGAGTCCGTAGGAGTCCATCGTGCCACAACACCTGGTCATCGGACCTAGTCGTTCAGTCTCCAACAAGACCGACCGTGAAGAGCTGGTCACAAGCTGCTTGCTTTCGTGGCCCAAGATCGGGCGCAGCGGCTGCGCTTCTTTGCAGCTAAAGGTCATGGGATGTTAGTGGTGATGTGAGTGGTGATGGTTATTTTCCCTCAACCAGAAGTTCGAGCCGTCTCAGAGTCTTTTCTCGTTGTCTCGGAGTCGTTGTTTCGTTCTCCGGAAGGGACGTAGGTGGACGATCACCCAACCTTTGGGGGATTGGAATGGGATTCCACACGTTCCACACGAACAGGTGGACTGTGGACCAGTGACCTCTCTAAAAAGACCAGGCTGTCAGCCTTTCTCAGTGACTTGGCTGACTTGTTCTGCCCAAAAGAAGTGTTGGGGTCCAGAAAGGGTTCCTCATACAAGAAGGACTCCAACAGGAAGGACTCGCCCTGTGTCCTGTATGAAGGTTCCCACACTACTCCAACAAGAAGGTCTTCTGTTCCTTAACCGAGCGGTCCAGAGAGAGGGTTCGAACGACGATGTGGTTGACTGATGGAAAGGCTTGCCATGCCGGAGCGCACGTACAAAGGTGTTATTGTGGGAGGATTTGCTCGTGTAGCAATAACATTCAAGGCACTTTGGAACAACTTGTCAGACAAATGACACATACCAGGACCATCAAGTGGGTGTCCAATGGACTAACTACCCTGTGATCTATAGAACATCCAGATGGTCCCGGTAATGTACACACATGGACCATCTTTCTGTGAGCTTGAACATTTCAATCGCCCAGTCTTCTCTCAGGATGAGAAGGAGCCCGAGCAGAAGACCGAGCCTCAACTCGTCCGTCGGAAGCTGTTGACCAACCAAAGCCTCCTGCGGCCACGAGCTGCACAGGCCGGCGAACGCCACCAACATCGTACGCAACCAAAAGACACCGTTTGGTGGGGCCACGGACGACACCGCGCTGATGGGGCGAGCTCGCACCAAAGAGGGGCCAACGAAGCTTCGATCCGAACATTCGAAGCTTCCGAAGCTTCCTTGCCAGCATGGGCAATCTTTAACCTGTTGAGTTGGAGCATGTTCCACATGTATGTTGCCCAGCTTTCAGAAGGAACCTTCTGCAAATGAGGGAAAAGGGTTGAGGAATGCATGGTGGAATCTCGTATTTTTCCCAGATCCTGGTCCAAATCGGAGGGTCGGTGTTAAAGCTTCAACCAGTTTGCTAGATGGATGGTGGATGCTTCACGGATGAATGGTGATGCTTTAACGTTCGTCTTGGATGTGGAGATGCACTTGGGCTGGTGTTTGTGCGTCGGACTTGCGCTGAGAGTCAGAAGCGGCTTGGACTGGGGATCCCTAAAGTCTTGGCTCAAAACAACAGGTTCCGGAGTGTGGGACAGAATCCGGATGGATCCATTTGGTCAAAGCCCAGAGCCCCTTTCATGCGGCTAGCGCCTCCGACTCGGAGTCCATTCTGTTCATTTTCTGTGGTCCACCAACATACCTCGGTTTTGACCCAGGCATATATCATCTCCCTGGAACTAAAATGGAAGTGGAAAATCTCCCCCTAGGTCAGGGTTTGCAGAGGTCAGGGTCTTCCCGTCCACATTCCATGTCAGTTCCAGGAAGTGTATGGTGGTCGTGGGGTCTTTGTGGGCCCTCTTCCATTCACATGGGAACTAGCGGCCTGAGCTGTACTGTAGGCTTCCGTTGGAGCAGTTTTAAAGTTTAAAGCGATTCACCTGGTGTTGAAGTAACAATGTTTGTTCGGTTTAAAGTCGTAAAGACGATTAACACCATGGTGGTTGGAAGCGTAGGGCATAGATATTTTCCAAATCCTCATCATGATCAGCACCAACCAATTTCAACTTTGCTTAATCCACAGAGCCTGAGCATGGCCACTGAGCTGGCAAATTTTACTGTATCTTAGGCACAGCCCTAGGAAGTATAAATATGTGTCTATATATACACATACACACACCACATATAGGACTTACCGAGGAACATCACAATGCACCTTAGAAGACGATCGTTTTCCTTGACAATCTGCTGATTCTCGGACAACTTTGAAAGCTTCGGAGTCCAGAAGGCCTTCTTGCCCAAACGCCCCAAACCCTTCGGAGTTGGCTCGAAAGAAGACGGAGCACACATGATGAGGGTGTGTCATCCATCTCCCAGACCACCGGACCACACATGACCGGCACCGTCTGCCCCCGTCTCGACGCACGCCGCAGGCGACCCAGCGATCCGCGGCCCAAGAGGCGGATCCGTTGGTGGTTGAAAAGGCCATGGTAGACATGATGTAGGACAATTGATTCTGCGGGCATGTGACTGCCTTTACACATCCCATGTTTTCGAAAGGACGAAACGCGATGAACATTCCGCGTCGTTCGAACGTTTGGCTCAAGAAAGAGGCGCTTGCGTGCGCTTCGGTTTTTTCATTTCCCGCTCGCAGGTTATGAGCCCAAATCTGCCATGTCGATGTCGACTTTGAGACGGAGAAGGTCAGAAGCAGCCAAACGAGAAGAAGAAGGCACCCTGGAGATCGGGGTGGCTGACCGAAGACTCGACGCCTTGATCGAGGAGGAGGTGCGAAGAACGAGGTCGGCTGACGCGGGTCCGAGAAGATCCACGGCAGAGGCTAGCACCCCGCAAGGCCGGCCAAAGGCCCTTCGACCAAGTCCGTCACAAGAACCCAGAGACCGGACGACAGCTGCTGGGGGAGAGCCAACGGATCCCTCATCTCTGAAGTCTGTGAAGCCAGTTGACCCGGCAAGGTCGCTATCGGTGGAGCCTGGACATGATCTTCCTCATGGGGGTTTGGGGGCACTTCATGATGCGGTTCAACAAACTTATCACGTATTGCGACACGCACTAGGTCAGCACCGTCAAGGGCAAGGGCTATTAGGACCTCTTGGACCTCCCATCGATCAACCTGCTCATGGAGGGCTGTTTGGTGATGGCCGGATGCAGGTCGACCCACGTGCACTGGAATATGGTTCCGGGGGAGCTCAAACCCCGGTGCGACCGCAGGAGCCTAATCCTTTTTGGAGCCCAGCTTTGCAGGATACGATGAGGAGGGCGTCTTCGGGCCTCAGTGGAGATCTATCGGGAGGAGCTGATTCTCGACGCCTTCATGTACCAGGTGGTGAACCTGTCCCGCGGGTTATAGCTGAAGGGAATGCTATGCCGGCAGCGGCCTCGGGATCGCCGGTGCGTGATGATGTGGAAGCTTTGAGAACCCGCATCCTCAAGGAGGCGGAGGAAAACTTTGATCGGGAGGTCAAACGTCTCTTGGCAGCTAAGGAACCGGCGGACACGACCTCCTACAAGACTGCATCAAGTGGGCCTCAGACAGGGGTGGACTCGGAGACCTATGCTGGACCTGAGCGACCACCTGGACTTCATCATGGTGACCTGGGTGGTAAGGACCGAGGACCGGATTTGAGTTCGAAGGTCGTTCGTGTTGGTGGTGCGGCAACTCCGGCGGCAATGGCTGAAGCTCTGAGGAATTTGGAACTTCCTCCCTTGCCATCACCCAACTCCGAGGGGGCATCTATCCTCTTTGGAGATTGGTTGACGATGAGCTTCCCGCTGATGGCTGACATCTCAAATAGTGCAAAGGCCTGGTGGGAGGAATCGCTGACCATTGCGCAGGATCACTATGCTCGCTCGTTGACGATGAGTCCATTGGAACGCCTGAGAGCAAAGCCAGTGGTGGTGGTGGAACCTGCCCTGCAGAGGATTGAACAACGTGGCATTGCAATGTTGTTGGGAGCATTGCCGGATCAGCTCCGGCGCGACCTGGTCAGTGGACGGCAGCTCTCGGTCGTCTACATCCTGTACAAGTTGCATGTGACGTACCAGCCGGGAGGAGGTGCTGAAAAAACACAACTCCTCAAAAATTTAGTGGAAACGAAGTTTGCCACCCAGACATCGGAGTTGTTGACACAGGTCCGGTTGTGGCGACGATGGCTTGCACGTGCACAAGAGCTCAACCTTGCTCTACCTGACCCTGTGGTTCTCATGGTCACCGTGCAACGCATGATTGAGAGCGCCACCAAATCAGGCGGAGCTCAAATGGCATTTCGAATTGCCAACGTACGGCAAGAATTGAGAGTTGATTATGCAGCTACAGTGGAGGCTGTTATGGAGCTCTCGGAGTATGTGCAGGCAGAGGTGGAAGAGATTTCGCTGACTACGCCCATGAAGTCGCAGCCGGTGACCACCAATGCTGGAGCAGCTGGAACACAGCCGACGACGTCTGTGAAGGCTATGGCATCAGCGTTCGGGGCGGTGGACTCCGATGATCGACCTTCGCAGAAGTTGGCTTGCAAGTTCTGGAAGAGTGATGAGGGTTGTAAACGTGGTAACAGTTGCACCTACGCCCATGACAATGTGGACATGAAGGGTCGCTGCTTCAATTGTGGAGGACTTCACATGAAGAAGGACTGTCCAAATGGGCCGAAGGGGGTGAAGCCGGACGCCAAGAAGGTCTCCAAGGTGAAGACTATGAAGGAAGGGGAGAAGATGAATGGGGGTGAGAAGAATGTCAAGGGAGGCTCTCCTGGTGATGAACCAGCTGACGAGAATGTGAATGTCCCTGTGACTGCTGTTCCCAAGCGACTTGACTCCCCGGAAAAGCCTGTGGCAAAGGATGCAACCGCTGAGCTGTTGTCGGAGGCCACGTCGTTGCTCAAGATGCTGAGGAGCATGAAGATGCTGCGGGTGAAAGAGCTCAAACACAAGTTTGGCACGGATGAGGAGGCAGTGGGTCTCCTGGATGGAGGCGCAACGAATGGGCTCAGAGAAGCTTATCCACAGAGATGCCACACCTGGTTCCCGTTCGAGTAGAATTGGCTTCAGGATCAGCCACCTTGTACAAAGTCAACGAGCATCGAACTCTGTTGTCGAAGGAGAAGGTGGAGGTGATTGTTCCGCTGCATCGACTGGTGGGATTGGGATATCGGCTGAATTGGTCGAAGGGAGGTGTCAAGATCTCTCATCCCGAGTATGGCCGGATCGAATGCACTCTGAGAGGAGGATGTCCAGTCCTACCTGAACGTCAGGCCCTCGCATTGCTGGAGGTGATGGAGAAGGCTGATCGGGGGGAGCTCATGATTGATGAGGAGATCAAGTCCTGGTGGACCAAGATGTTTCCTGAAGTTCCTGAAGAAACTTGGAACTATATGAAGGGGCAGACATCATTTGACCCCCAGGTTTGCCCGTGGAATCGACACCAGAGGAGGAGGCATGAGAGGTCGAAGGGGATCATCTTGCACCTCTACAGCGGAAAGGACTCTCAGTCTTGGCTCAACATGGACTGGCATGGCTATGAGGTCATCAACGTGGACATCATCAACGGAGCACAATATGATATGCACTCCATTGGCACTTGGAGCTACCTTTGTCATCTTGCACGAAGTGGGAAGGTGGTGGCTGTGCTTGGAGGACCCCCATGTCGGAGTGTGTCGCGACTGCGTCATCGAGGCCCAGGACCACGCCCAGTGAGGGGGAGAGATGAACGACGATTTGGTCTACCTGGCCTTTCATCTGTGGAGAAGGACCTTGTTGTCGGTGACCTGGCACTGTTGTTGAAACAAGCAGGACTCTGGATCATGGCAAGCGAGGCGATGAACCTCGTTGGAAAGGCAGAGAATCCCTGCAGAGTGCCGCCGGCATTTCTGATGGAATCACCTCGTGACCCGGTCTCCTACATGCAGCAGGAGGCACTGGAGCAGGACATGGCATCGTACTGGAACTTCCGTGAGGTGAATGAGTTAGCGCAACTCATGAAAGCCAGCTTTGTCACCCTGGATCAAGGACCGATTGGTCATATCAAGCGGAAGCCTACAACCTTGATGGTGGCCAACTTGCCGGATATGCTCGAACTTCAAGGCATTTCGGGGGATGGCGCTGGGCAGGAAGTTGCAGGTTCACTCCAAGGACGACTCGTCCAATCCAGAGAATGGTCGGCATGGGCCCCCGGGCTGGTAGCTGCTATTCAAGAGAGCCTGAAGAGGTTTGTGCAGCGACTGGATGCTCAAGAAGGTGGCCCACAAGATCGCAAAGCAGCAGTGTGCCGCTTAGACATGGAAGGATGGAAGGTTCATGTGAGGAACCAACATCAGCCATTTCGCAGGGACTGTCGCCGATGCATGGAGATGATGGGCTCTGATGTTCCTCATCGACGCACTATGGGTGACAGGGCAGCTCACTGCTTATCGTATGACATCGTGGGGCCAATGCCAGTTGGAGATGATTTGGGCCTCGGTTTGAAGGCCAAGTACATGATGGTGGCGACTGTGGCCATTCCACGATTGCCTCGAGAACATGAAGAATTCAAGGAGATGGAGGAATTGGATGGGGAGGAGGGCGAACTGCTTCCCATTGGAGATGGAGAAGGTGCGGCAGAAGGGGATGATCCGGAGCAGGTGGAGGTGTCGGATGAGCAGGTGGAGAACCTCAACACAGCCTGGAAGGAGCACATCAGAGACCTGAGCGCACCAATTGGCGTCCAGAATGTCACAGTGGTGGAGCCGCTTGAGAGCCGGTCGCAGGTTGATGTCACCAAGGTTGCAACCCGCATATACTGCCGCTTCAAGGCGATGGGCATGAAGATGCTTAGAGTTCACACAGATAGAGAGTGTGCCTTCTTGTCCAGGAGTTTCCAAGCATTCTGCCGACGCTTTGGAATGTACCAAACTATGACAGGAGGAGATGAAGGACCTTCAAATGGCCGAATCGAGGCGGAGGTCCACCAGGTGAAAAGAAGACTCAGGTTGCTCATTAAGGAAAGTGGCCTGGAAGAAAGGTGGTGGCCGGGCATTGCGCGCTATGTTGGAGAGGAGAGGCTGAGGCGCCAATGTGCCAATCTTGGTGTTCCAAGTGCCCCGCTGCTGCCGATTGGGGGGAGGGTGACAGTGAAGACCAAGCGCTGGCATAGAGCAGGGTTTGGACCTTTGACACCGCCCTTTCGAACTATGACTTTGATGGGTCCCTCGCCATTTATGTCTCAGGGCTATGTGCTGTTTGACAGCGGCCATGTACAACATGCTCGGGTTGCGGTCCAGACTGATCCAGCTGCTGAACGGGCTGTTCTGGAACTACAAGCTGTCCAGGAACCAGAACGACCTCAAAAACGAATGGTGGGTAAGCAGCCAATGGAACCGATGCTTCCTCAACTTCCCCCACCGCGGCTTTCTGATGATCCTGGACTATGCACCGTCCGGTGCAACCCAGTTGGAGAGCCAGTCCTACACCAAGGTCGGACTGGGGGGGAGTCTTTGCAGCTTTCTATGCCACTAGGGGCGCATGTGAAGATCACTGGTGGAGGAAGGGCATTGGTTTGCAAGGAGTGTGGACTGCAAATGGCGCATCTGTCGTTCAAACGCCTTGAACTCCCTTGACAATGCGAATTCTGTGAGACTCCAATGGATGAACCTGGTGAAACATCAATCGATGGGACCGTGGAGTATGACATGCGGAAGGCCCTGAAGTTGACTCAAAGGTTGGAAGAAGAGCATTGGGGCTGGAAACAGCTCTGGTGTGACATGTTGAAGGAGGTGGCGGTTGGCGACGTGGAGGGTCAGCTGCAAGGAGCTATGATGGACTACTTGGAAAAGAATGTCCAGGCCTTGGAGGAGGACCTCACGGAGATTCGAGATTGTGCTGTGACTCACCAGTTGGCATCGATGACCGCTGGACAGCACTTAGAGGAGAAGGAGGGTTCGGATGATCGGCTGGGGGTGCATGCTGTTCTTCAGACGTACACTGTCCCACTTGCACAAGTTCGACGAGAACTGAAAGATTGGATCCCGTCGCTTGAGTATGAGGTGAACTCCCTTGAGAAGACCACCAGGGCAGTGAGGCCCATTCAGGTTCAAGACCTTAAGGAGGAGCCGGGCTACAATGAGATGCTGGTGGTTCCCTCGAAATTGGTTCCTACGGTGAAGGCCCCGGATGGAAAGAAGCGATCTCGCATAGTTCTATGTGGAAACCTTGTTGAAGACACCTCAGCTCGTCTCCAAGCTCATTCCGGTGAAAATGATGCTGGTGGTGGCGATAGTGGAGGCAAGCCGCCTGGAAAGTCGTTTGAGCTGTATGCAAGTGGCATTATTGGAAGTTCATTGAGGTGTGCACTCCGCAAGGCAGCTCAGGAGCAGTGGTCAATAGGCATCACTGACGTATCCTCGGCTTTCCTCCTGGCACCAAGAAAGTCCTCGCGCCTCATGGTCACCAAGCCCCCATCGATCCTGACTGAAGCAGGAATCCTTTCCAAGGACACCCGGTGGATTGTGGAAGCTGCTGTTTATGGTTTGGACAGTTCCCCGGCTGACTGGCAGTCCTATCGGGACGAAGTGCTTCGAGGAATGAGGTGGTGGGAGGGCGGCAGGCATTATTGGATCCATGCCACTCCGGAGCCTAATGTCTGGAGGTTGATGTCTGCTGATGGTGAGGAGATGGACTATGTGAATGTCATGGAGGAGGGCAAGGCGGTGGGATTCGCCTTATCCTATGTGGATGACTTCATCGTGATGGGTGATCGGCTGGTGGCACAAGCGTTTTTGTCCAAGCTGGCGGCTACCTGGAAGTGTGCTCCTCCTACCTGGGTGGTGGATTCGGAATGGCGAAAGTTTTGTGGAGTGGAGATGAAGTGGGACGGCAGCAGCTTGCTCATTGGCCAGCCTGACTATGCTCGGGAGATAGTCGCTCGCCATTCGGATGTCCCGTTGAGGAGCTCTCCACTTCCGAAGGTGATTGAGATGGACATTGAAGAGACCATCAACCCGGAGGATGTGAAGCGCTGTCAAACTGTGATCGGAGAACTGTTATGGCTCTCTACTAGGACGAGGCCGGACTTGAGCTTCGCCGTGTCGTACCTGGGGGCGCGTGTGACAAAGTCTCCAAAGGGGGTATTGAGCCTTGCTGACCATGTGTTGGGCTATGTGGCATCAACCCTGGACTTTGCCCTGGAGTATGGTCCATGTTCGGACCAATGTGACCAGTATGGACGAGTGCACAATTTGAATCGGCTGGAGGTGTTGACCGATTCATCCTTTGCTCCCACTGGTGGCAAGGGTCACCAGGGAATCATGGCTATGTGGGCAGGCTGTTTGGTGGCTTGGGAGTCAAAGGCTCAGGCATTTGCAACTCTCAGCACCACAGAGAGTGAGCTGCTTGGCTACATTGATGGCCTCACCCTGGGAGAAAGCGTTGGAGCGGTCGTGAACGTTCTGCAGGAGAACATCCTGGACCGTGAGGGTTCGTATGTCCTGAGAGGAGACAATCTCTCAGGCTTGCAGCTGCTTCAAGCACCTTCAGGCCCGTGGCGCACCCGGCATCTACGGTTGAGAAGTCATGTTCTTCGTGAACGCCTCAAGCACCACCTCTGGAGTGTGGAGCATGTGCCTGGCGCGGAATTGTGCGCCGACCTATTGACCAAATCCATCACACAGTCTCAATCGTGGGATGCCTTCCGCCGTTCGGTTGGTCTTCGTGCTGCTGCAACACCTGTCCCCAATGAGGTGAGTATGTCGAGGGCAAGGAAGGTAGCTTGTGCCGCGATGGCATCCTTGGGCCTGCTAGCAGCGGTGCCTGGTTTGGGGGGAGCAGTGAAGCTGGCATCGCTCTTGGGTTTGGCAGCTGCGGCTACAGTGGCTGTGAATGCATTCACGACGGCGACAGGCCAGTCGAATAAGAGGTCTAACGCATCCCACATCAAGAAGCTGTCAAGATGGGTGAGGGAAGATGAACCCACCCCAAGTAGGCCTGAGGTGATCAAGAAGGATTCAAGATGGGTGAGGGAAGATGAACCCACCCCAAGTAGGGTTGAGGAGGTCAAGAAGGATTCAAGATGGCTGAGGGAAGATGAACCCAGCCCTTGTAGGCAAGGTCAGGTCTCGACCGACGTTCGCTCGATAGCCGACGACTTTTGCCACCTTGGCACCCCGGCCGATGGATCGACCTTGAAGCCATGGAATCCAACTTTGCGGCTCTGCGCCATGAAGGCGCCTCCTGCCCATAGAGGATTGGGCACAGACACGCCGTGGGTTTTGGGGAGGTTCGCGACGCCTCCTACGGGTGCAGATCGATGGGAATGCCTGGGAGCAGGCGATGGTGCTGGTGAATGGTGGGTTCGTGTTCTCAAGAAAAGCAGGGTGAGATCATTCCACCCACTACACCGGGGCACTCCCTTCCAGATCTCGAGGATGTCACCTACCAGAGTGACTGTGGCATTCCATCGGGGATCAACTCGAGAAGCCTGGCGGCGGCAAGTGCTGACGGACGATTGGACCGCATCGAGGAATTGTGACATTGAGGGTGTATATGAGTGGATAGGCTATGCCTTCTTCTATGTCCGCTTCGTGGGAGCGATGGAAGGGGCTCAACTTGATCCCGATTGTGGACTTGCACCGGGACCGCACCCTCTTCCGGGGACCCATGAGCAGGCTGCGCGGGGCTATGGAAACACGTCATCTACTCGGTCTCGTGCCTTGGAACGGGGTAGGAGTGCGTAACTCCCTGTTGGAGAGAACGCAGGGAAGGGGCCTGTCATGGCCTACGATGGATCTGCAATCACTGCTCGTGGCATTGCCTCCTCCGATGGTGTCCCAAGCGCTGGCTACATTGAGCGGCTCCAAGGGCATCAAGCTCGAGGAGAAAACCACATGGATGAGATGGAACGGGCCTGGCGGCATTCTTTGTGCTCTGAGGGTCTGCATCCGTCTGAGGCTGACACCTGGCCTGAGTGGATGGGAATTTCAACTACAGTGGGTCAAAGACCCGTCACGCCACCTGTGGGCCTAGAAGAAGACTCGCAGTCAGATGGTAGTTTTGAGAAAATGGCATGAGCAATCTGCTGTATGCCCAAGGAATGATGGAAAGCCATCATTGGGGGAGTGCGGGCATGTGACTGCCTTTACACATCCCATGTTTTCGAAAGGACGAAACGCGATGAACATTCCGCGTCGTTCGAACGTTTGGCTCAAGAAAGAGGCGCTTGCGCGCGCTTCGGTTTTTTCATTTCCCGCTCGCAGATTCATTTCAGTTCCCCCCCCCAAGCGGTTTTTTCTTTCAGAGTCTACCAAGTTGGTAGTTATGGGTAGTGTACCTGTAGTTATGGGGTCCATGTTACGGTCATATTCCATTTTGCTAGGGTACAAACTGGAGGGTCCGGGTATATATTACAATCTTAATTATTGCTGACCCATTGGGTTGTCCAGGAAGTTTGTTGATTGGAAACAAGACACCGTTTTGTCTGAAGGAAAGACACTGTTTCGTTCTTTTGGTTTCTCAACGGCAGAGCTTCAACATCACGCAATCACACAAGCTGTAGTAAAACCAGGCCTAGCCTCAAGAGTTTGGTCAAACTCAGCCCCAGATCGGAGAAGATCTGTGAGGCTTCAAGCCACTGATGTGATGACGGTGGTGACACTTTTTTGACACGTCCATCTTCAGTTTCCACTGATCCAGATGGAAAGAGACACCCGCCATGTGCCCAGTTCCGTGACCTACACGAGGCTCCTGAGCTTGGTTTTATGATGCTTTTTAGCCTGAGGCGTACAAACCACTGGTTTCATGATATGTCTCATATAGTCGTTTTTGATGTGGGATGCTTTTATAAGAATAGATAACAATAGTACTTTGCTAGCATTCTTGATCAAATTTCATCAAGTTGCATCTTCTTCAGGAAGCGAAACAGGAACGAGCAGAAGCGGCTCAAGCAGCGCTCAGCCCGGAGCTCAGCGAAAGGGGTGGGGCCTCTTGGAGGGATTTAGATGGAGGTGTATTTTCACAGGGAGATCCACAACCAGGGGGGGTTGTTTTGTAGTGGTTTTTGATGGTTGTTGCGGTCTTTAGAGATTGATGGACCCGGAGGGCTCTTGTTTGAGCTCCAGAGACCATGACCTCCAAAGGGACCACATTCACTGTCTTGGACACATGGCTGTGGGTGATGGGCACCAGGAGACCGACCGGTTGACCTAGCAAACATGGACTGGTCAAGCAACGTGGGACCGAAAGTGTCCGTGTCTTCGGGCGGAAAGGCCTCCGTTGCCGGACAAGGCGAGACTTGTGGTGGTTTTTCCCCAGCTGTCAGGTGAGGGTTGTTCGATTTTTAAAGATCGTCTTCTCCTTCCTTTTGCCCACCTGCCTTCCGTGGCTCCGGACCTCAAAAGCAAGCGCCAGATCGCAGTGGGCAGTCCACAGGACCAACAACATACAACCACAAACACACAACCAACCAAGCACACCCACAAACACACAAGCACAACCACACAACCACAAACACAATCACAAGCACACAACCACAAACACACTACCATAACACACAACCACAACACACAACCACAACACACAACCACAACCCACAACCGCAACACACAACCACAACACACACAAGCACACAACCACAACCACAGCAATATAGTTGCATGGCAGGTGGTCATGGGGTAGCACTTTTGGATGCCAACTGGAGACCCTGGCGACACCCCGACGCGAACTCCCCAACATTCAAAAAACAATCCCAAACCAAACTCGAGGACCCACAAGCAAAGTCGAAAGCCACCAAGCCCACGACCATGGCAGCATGCGCCTCACCATGGCATGAAAACAAATGATTGATTGATTGGAATTTCATGGGGATCACTTGAAGTAACGGATTTTTCATCTTTTAGACATTTAAAGATGGTCTTCTCCTTCCTTCTTTCCCGCCCGCCTGCCTTCCGCCGCTCCGGACCCCAACAGCAAGCGCCAGATCGCAGTGGGCAGTACCGGACGTCAACAGCATCGCAGTGGGCTACCGGACCGCAAGTGCCAGATGGCAGTGGGCAGTCTCGGGCCTCAACACACAAGTCACAACCAACAGCATACATCCACAAACACACAACCACAAGCACACAACTACAAACACACAATGACACACTCTGAAATTGGTTTTCAGTTAACTCAATTCCCAGGAGAAATGGCGATGGAACCGAAAGGTGAGAGAGTCGGCACAATTGTATTGTTTAACAAAAGGTTTTTGCACATCTGCAGCTCACGAGAACAGCGGTGGGAAACGAGAGCGCGGCTCAGCTGCAAGAAAGGTTTAGGGGTGGTAGCATGAAGAACCATGGAATCAAACCGAGAGTGGAACAGCTTGTGCAAAAGTTCCGTCAGCGCAGGTACATGGCCAATCCTGGTATCCCGTGTTCAGACTAGCTTCGTTGGGCGTAGTCATCTGAACACGCTACGCCCCCCTGCGTTTTGTAAACTCTTGGATACAGAGTGTGACACACACACACACACACTCAGCCGCTTTGCGGCGCTCCGGCGAAAAAACCTCAATAGGCACCTAAAAGGCCTTAGAAACGAAAGCGAGAGAGACAGAAAGAGCAGCGCAAAAAGGGCAGGAGAAAAAGATAGGTGTAGTAAAAAGTGAATACTTAGCCCTTGACTGGGGTAGGGAAACGAGCCTCAAGAACCACCTAAACAGCTTGAAAGAAAGCCCAACAAACGACGAAAAGCGCAAGAAGGAAAGCGGGGGGCAGGGATGGGGTGTATGTCCATGTGTGTGTACATGTGTGTGTTTGAATACTTAGCCCTCTAGAGTTACTGATTACTTAGCGGAAGCGAATTAGGTGCAATAGTTAGGGAGCGGGACTTTAGTCTTAGATCGCCCGGGTAAAGTAGACTAGAACATGGACAACACAGGGAAAGGCACCGACACACAAGCGCGTCGAGTACCATTTCCCTCTGTTACCCTAATTAGAGGGGGGGGAGGGGTTGGGGTGTTTGGGGTAGAGAACACGTTTGGGTTTATTCTCCGTTGGCCCGGCGGCTTGGAAGTGTTGTCGTGGGCCCGACAGCGTGGAGTTTTGAGAATCCAGTAGTGAAACGAATTCCGTTAAGAGAATCCAACGTGTGCAGAACGCAGTAGAATCCGTTAGTGGTAGTCCGGCATGAAAACAGCGCCCCTGTGACGGGGATCACACCCAGCACCCAAGTGGGACGGCTGAGCGAGACACACTCTGAAATTGGTTTTCAGTTAACTCAATTCCCAGGAGAAATGGCGATGGAACCGAAAGGTGAGAGAGTCGGCACAATTGTATTGTTTAACAAAAGGTTTTTGCACATCTGCAGCTCACGAGAATTGCGGTGGGAAACGAGAGCGCGGCTCAGCTGCAAGAAAGGTTTAGGGGTGGTAGCGTGAAGAACCATGGAATCAAACCGAGAGTGGAACAGCTTGTGCAAAAGTTCCGTCAGCGCAGGTACATGGCCAATCCTGGTATACGCCCCCCTGCGTTTTGTAAACTCTTGGATACAGAGTGTGACACACACACAATCACCAACCCACAGCTACAGACACACAATCACAAACAAACAGCCACACACACAATCACAAAGACACAGCCACAAGCACACAATCACAAACACAAGCACAAGCAGACAACCACGAACACACAATCGCAAACACAATCACAAACCCACAGCCACAAACACACAGCCACAAAAACAGCCACAAACACATCCACGAATACATCCACAAAAACACCATCACAACCACACAGCCACAAACGCAACCACAAACACACAGTCGCAAACGCAACCACAAACACACAACCACAAACACACAACCACAAACACACAACCACAAACACACAACCACAAACACACGGCCACAAACACACATCCACAACACACAACCACAAACGCACTACCATAACTTAACACACAATCACAACACGCAACCACAACCCACAACCACAACACACACACAAACACACAACCACAGCAATATAGTTACCTGTGTGTGTGGGATTTTGCATGGCAGGTGGTCACAGGGTAGCACTTGTGGATGCCAACTGGAGACCCTGGCGACACCCCGACGCGAACTCCCCAACATACCAGTACCAAGGGGTTATGACTGAAGTCATTTTCCTGCATTGTCAGGGGTTGGAGACCCTTTCTTTAGGTTGTCCAACTTCCCGAAAGACGACGATCCGTTGGGCTTGTGAAAAACTGTCCAAACCACCGACCTTCCTGGCAAGGATCGAACTGGGAAGGTGAAGAAACTGAGCAGGCGTGGGTGCGTAGGTGATTTCGGCGGGGTTTTTCTCGGGTGGAGAGGTTCCAGGAAGAACGGTCGAAGGGGTCCGTGGCTTTGATATGTTTTGGAGCATGTTGCCGGGCAGGCCATATATGCCCTATAGGATCCACATACCTTTTGCGAAGGTGATTGGAAACTATTTATGTAGGCGCGAAAAGGGTTCAATTACCTGCTGAGAAGTTAGAAGGTATCTGGATCAATAGGGATGTACTGAAAGGATTCGAAGCTGGCCGCCTTTTTTTGGCTCCGAGGTGGATGAAGGAGACCGACCCCTTTTTTGGCAGTGTTTTTGACGGTGCAAGAACCTGTTACTCCCCTGCAGAGGACCACGTGCAGATGAATTAACAGGTCCCCCAAACACCATTGGGTTGGTATTTGGAAAATGGTCGAAACCGCCAGTCAATTCTGGGGATCCATGTTAGTTTGCAGAGTGCTTGCTCCAGGTCGGGGGGGGTGATTGATCCGAGAGGACGATGTCGCTCAGTGCGCCCCCCGCCGTCCACCGGGTGTCCGGCGATGAATTCGGGAGGACCAAGTGGGCTTAAACCCATTAGAACATAGTTATTAAACCTCCCTGCAACAATCATTGGAAGTGGACCACCCCCGCCACCCACTCTTGGTGTTCGGATTTCAGGGTCTTCCGAAATCGGGGCGATGCTTTCCAGCTCCAGGGAGTGTAGAGAGTCAGAGTCTTGAAAAAGATCTTCAAGGAAACCATGACATCTTGGCCTTTTGCCACCTTTTGCCCCTCCCCTCTGAAAGAAACAGTCGATTCGACTCGTGACAAAAGCGAGGAAGTCGGACTGGCCATCCATGCGGTTTTCGCTCGGTCAGGCAAAGCCCCGTGTCCCGCGGCGACGGAACAAGGAGTCGGGGTGTGGGACACCGAGGAGTCGGCGCTGGATTTTTCAAATCCGGACACTCCATGGGACTGTGAAAAGGGGTGAGGTGCTTCGAGAGAGTGCCGCGACGGAGAGAGAGAGAGAGAGATTTCGTGCGCTGGACGGTGGATGGCGGAAACAAGAACCGGTCGAGGAAAAGTAGATGACCTGCATAACCCGTTTTGGGGATTAGTGACAATCTACTTAAACAAGAACAGATGGAAAAAGGTGAGCCTTTACAAGCTTAATTATGTTCCAGGAGAACTGAAAAATCAGAGAATGGACGTCAGCAGGATGTAAGTGTAAGCTCTGGAGGTAATTTTGCTGATGATGAAAATCCAAGCCCCAAGACCACCGCGGTTGGGCATCTTTTTCAGGGATGAGAGGGTGTTCAGATCCCCGCAGTTTAGGTTTTCGCGTGTTTCTTGTTTGCTTCGCTTGAGAGTAGCGGTTTCTGAGATGAATTGATCCATGCTTCTTCAGAGTTCACAGACCACAAAGCGCTCGGGCACAGTGGTTTCAACGTCCTGCTTGCAAACCAGACATAGAAACCTTTGACGAGATTTGGAAACCACCTTGGAGCCAGAAACACACACTCAGATATTTGGGGTTCAGACTTTTTGGAATTCAGATATGTTCGTTGCGACCGCACAGGGGGCAATTCCAAATCTGAGCACTCAGTTGACCCAGCTGACCCTCGACGAACTACCACCACCACCGCCACACCACCACCACCACCACCACCACCACCACCACCTATGAAGGTTAACTTCAAGTTGGAAACTCGTGAGAAACCAAGAACAAAACAATTGAAACCTGTGAAAAATCCGTGAACACAAATGCAACCCTTCGATCGTGTTCGAAGGAACCCTCGGCCGCGATCAGCCGAATCGCCCACGCCCCGATCCGGACCGTGTAGCGCAGTCTTTTCGCGCCACACTTGAGCCATGCGGGTGATGGCGTGTCTTTGGTTTCTGGTGGTATACACTTCTCGATTTGTCGCTCTGGACGCGACTTGCGAGGATCGGCGAAAAGCAAGCGGAAGCTTGCAGCCTACGAACAAGTTCATGCATGCTGCAGTACACTTCTTGATTTGTGCGTGTATGGAAACAAGAACGCAACTGTGCTTGAACGAAAGGACGGCTTCGAACGAGGTGTCGAACTTTCACACCCCCCCTCAAACACATGTTGTGGCACAGCTGTACTACTCTAAGATCACATTTCATGGATACTGCAGCTCATACGATGCGAAAGGGATCATCGTGAGATCCTGATGCACTGCTTACATGGCTGTACTGTTCTCGTGCAGTACTGCACCAATGGGCTTCCATGCAAACAAGGACAAGTTTTGTCCGGCTGCGCTCGATGGATGAATGCAGGGCGCTCAAAATTGAAACAAAGGGTCTGTTCGTTGCTGCTCAGCCCGTCTCCAAGACAATCAGGGCACAATGGCCTCTTGATCACATCCTTTTCCTTCATCTCCCGCACCATGCCGCGCGTGGGGTAGTGAATCCGTTCGCCAGTTCGGATGCAGATCACATAGATCTGACGGCCAGCATGGGCATCATCCTCAGGCAAAGGTGACGGAGTTCCAACCGCACTCTTGTCGTGACCTGGAGGTGAATAACTCGGTGGATGCGGAGATGCACTCGATGGGGGTGAGTGGCTGGGCGGATGTGGAGATCCACTTGATGCAGCAACTACATTCCAATCCTCATAGCTGGTGGTCTTCTCTCCATCATCCTTTTCAATCTTGACATACCCTTCGTTCTTGCACTTGCCAAGTGCACCCGAAGTCATAGATGATCCTTCTTTCTCAATTCCCTTGCAACTTTTCTCGCTCACCTTGTCACTCGAACTGCCAGCTACCGAGACCATCGCCTCATCATCTTTGACACTGATCTCAAGGTCGATCGGTGCGCTGCTATCAACGTGCACGACGATCTTTGGTGCCATGCTCGCTCGACAGGGCGATCAAAAAAGTAAAAAATGCAAAATTGCATATCTATCAAATTGTGTCCATCATCGTGGAGATTTCAGTTGGTATCTATTCGCACTCAATGCACAACATACCGTGGTGGGTGGCAAAGCAAATATGCATCTCCATTCAAGAACTAAGTCGGGTCAATTGATTCACAATTTTAAACATGTTCATCTCAAGTGTTCCAATCAAAGTTCATAGAATCTACTTAAACACTGGATTGAATTCAACTATGTCGTACGACTCATGTCAGTTCGCAGCCATTGACGCACGGGTCTTGCTTAAGAACCAAGAAGCGAACTCGGCGGCAAGCTTTCGGGGATATCGAGCGAGATCGTGCAAGTGCTGACCATTCAAAGACCGGTGCTTTGAACATGTGCAAACCTTGGGCTGACACATCTTGATGTTGCAGCAAACACGGAACATGTGCCTTGCAGGCACCGCTAGCTCAATCTGATACATGCACCTGGGAAACACCTCAACCCATCTCAACTCCAAATCCTGGCAGACCGTCTGAACCAGGGTGGATTTCCAGTACGTCGAGTGGCTCGAAAGCTCCAAGCACCGCAGGTGGCAGAGACTCATGACACTTTTGCACTCATTCAGCAGGTGTTCAAACTCGCGGAAATGAGTCTCCTGCAGCTCATGTCGTCTTGGCGGGGCGATCAGGTTAAGCACTGGGCTTCCTCCTGTGCATGGTGGACTGCTCCAACACAAAACCAAAACATCATCTAAAATCAAACACAACCAATCAGTCAGGATGTTCTTGATGACCTGAATCTTACATTCCTTGGTGACAGGGATGATGCCTAGCTTTCGAAACTCATGCAAACCATGAAGTTGGGAAAAACCGGCATCTCGGGTTGTGAAGAGGTCAACTAGGACATGTGACACCTGACCCTTCCCGATTTGCGACTTGAGGTGCTCTAAGCTCTGGCGAAAATCATGGATGGCCTTACTATCAGGCTCATTCACAGAAACACTGAGGCTGTGCGTTCCCTCGTGAGATTGTCCATCAATCTCTTCATGACTGGATCCATGGGATGGCTGCACGTCAGCCGGGCTAGATGCGATGGCATCAACATCAACTCTCGGTTGTGGTACCTTAGACTTCTTCTTTGACTCAAATTGCCAAGATTCGGGGGCTGTTCGTTCAGTCATCCCAATCTGGCACCGATGAAACTCTGTGGCTTCACGATTCAAAATCTTTGTCAGCAGGTCGGCAACACAAAGCTTTCCTGAGATCCATCGAAGAACTAAATGGCCGCTCTCAACAAGAGACTGGATGAAATAGGTGGCCAATGACATGTGTCTCACTCTCCTAGAAAGCCCTTGGTTTTGAAGTGCTGCCAAACACGATGATTGGGTATGTCTCTCGAAGTGCTGCCAAACACGATTGGGAATCCGAAAACACGATGATTGGGTATGTCTCTCGATTCCCACTACTGCCAATCTGATCAAATGCAATGGTTTGGAGGTCGTTCTCATGGAATCGTGCCAACTCGCTTGGATCAGCCAAATTCTCCAAAAACTCAACGAGGTGGCGCAGTCCAATGCATTCTTGGGAAATCTGACATACTGCAGTCATTTCGGATTCACACGACGAAAGCGTTATGCAATGTTGCACGCGGCTGTATCCCTTGATTACACTCCCCTTCCAATAGATCACACCTCCGCTGATCGATCTTCGTTGCTCTGCATCGAAACTTCCCCAAGACGCATCCGAAACACCAGTGATGCCGTCATAGAATGGAATGGAAGTGCTGTTGGCTGGGTACTCTTGATACAAATGAGCAACTGATCTTACAAACCTCAAATACTTACGAAGTATGTTCTCATGGATGTTGGTGGGTGCTGCTTGACCTATTGACAGGAGTGAAAGGAATCTTGCATGGTCTGGACGTGACTGTGCCCACCAAGCCAACTTGCCTACCAGCTTTCGGTAGCGCGCGGCTGCTTCGTCCGTGAGGACCATGATGCTGCTTGGGTCTTTGTGTCCCTTCTCGAGGATGGCCAACAGATCGGGAGGAACAGGTGATGCTTTCAGATCACTACAAAATGGTTCTGACTCAAACAAATCTTCCAAGTACTTGGTGGGAACCCTCACATACAATGATGTGGACTTTTGTGGACGAATCACCTCTCTTCCCAAAAACATCAACGAACCACCTTCATGTCGTGAACTGGTGATCGAACCTGTGACCTTGACTTCCAAAGACTCTTGCACCGATGCCTTGACATAGATATCTTCAATGCCTTTTGGCGACAGCGAAGCGACCAATAGGTCATCAACATACACAAGCACTGCGGTCGGACATTCTGACGGCTTCGACATGCCAGCTAAGATGGTCTGTTCATGGGGCATGTGACAAGTCCTGCATTGTCCCTCAAAATCTGAGAACACGTGCCTAACCAAGCCTTTGAAGCAACACGTAATCCGTTCATTGCACGTGTGAGATCAAGAAATATCGGCTGGTATGAATCTTCAGCGAACGACAGGTCAACTGGCAATCGATCGCTCTCACTCCCCGCGGGAGATTGCTGTGCAAAAACGCTGTCGAGATGTCCAGGCTCGTCAACCAATGGTCAAAGTATTGGACCGCAGCAATGAAAGACCTAAACGCCTCAATGCTTGGGGTCGAACTTGATATACCTAGGTTGTGTGCGGACTGAGATCCGGATGCGACCTCCTGGACAACACATCGTGCACGACATTGATTGATCTTTCCATCAATCGTCTTGGCCGTGAGCACCCATCGTGAGCTGATACACAATGGTCACAACGGCTATCGAATGGAATGTGACCTCGTCGGCGGTGCAACACTAGCTCCTTTTCGATCTTTCGACTCAGCTGCTGATAACTTGCCGGTTCGGTTGCCTGGATCTGGGCGGAATCTGGTGCATGATCTTCTTTTGGAGCTGGATAATAGGCTCATCAACATCACCTGAGGCTGGAAGCGGATGGTCATCCGATATGCTACCAGCGCATATCAGTGCATTAGGCCATGATTCATGCAGCTTCGATGGCTTGGGTGACATGGTATTGGGCTCAAATTCATGATTTTCTGGTTCATCATCGAACTGCAACACGTTGGCATGAGCTGTGTGTGTTGATTTGGATGTGGTTCCAAAGAAGGAAATGGCCGAACTCGAAGTGCGATACGTCGTGTCTTTCGAAGGACTGGAGATGCTGCTCTGGCTTGGACTCTTACCACCTTGACTCGAAGGACTTTGATCGGACCAAGCTTCAAAAACCTGGGCTTCTTCCCCTTTGCGGTCCTTTCCACGCCTTCGATGAGCTCGGACCCATGGTACATTGGCCCAAATCTCGCATGACATCCTGCGAATATCGGCAATTTGAATGCTGCAGCTGTTTGGACCGAACGTGAACGTTGCTCCCATACGGGTGAGTCCATGAACACTCAGCAAATTGTGCTCTACAGGTCCGATGACGGCACGAATCTCATAACGAACCTTCTCACCGTCTTCATGTTCAATCATGGTGGGAAAGAACACTTCTAACATACATTCTCTTTCAATAGCAACTTGCTCTCCGGATGCTGTTGGAAAATTGATGGGTGTGGTCATGTCACGCTCCCTCAACACTCGATATACTTTCAATGCTTGTGCGGAAACGACGGTTCGAGAAGCTCCGGAATCGACAAGCCAAAGGCGAGATTCTGGCACATGAAGAAGGGTTCAACGGGCAAGAAGGCTCCAAGCACATGGAAAGGCGACCGCCGTCTTCGAAGTCTGGTTCTGACCATACCTCGGACCCGGCTCCAGACTCTGGTTGCGAAAACTCAGTGGCCCTTTTCCCTTTCATTTTACCCTTTCCACCTTTATTTCCTTTCTCACCCTTCTTTCCCTTCTCCTTATTCTTTCCAAAATCATCTCCCTTTCCCTTATCACCTTTGGACTGCTTCTCAGGACCGCCGTGGCGTTTGTCACGATTGGGACAGTTGGCGGACAAATGACTTCGTTCACCACACTGAAAACAGCTTCTGGTCTCTGACCCGGATCCAGTGCCTTTACCTTTACCCAAATGCTTTCCCTTGCCCTCTTTGTCCTGATTGTCATACTTACCTTTTCCACCTTTGCGCTCCTTGCCTTTGCCTTTTGGGTCGAAACCTCCCAGGCTGGCGATGGGTTTGCCATTGAGATCAAGCCAAATTCGTTGTTGGGCTTCATACCTGAGGGCACTTTCAACATATGAGACAAAGGATTCATCGGCATTGTTCAGGACAATCCACTAACGACATTGTTGGGGCAGGGCTCTCAAAAGGATCAAAGTCTTATCGGCTTCGGCAAATTCAAGACCCTTGATGTTGACACTGGGGTCGACCAATTGAGACACTCTTTCGAATTGAAACAGCTCGGACTGAATCTTTCGAACGATCTCTGGAATCGTTTGAGGGGTGACGGTGCTATTGGCAACTGCTTCCTGAAAAACAACAACTCTGTGCGGGTTTTCACTGAAAACTCTCTTGCAATCAGTCGAAGACACGCGAATCCGCAGCGTCGATGAAATCCCTTAGCTTCCTCATAGTTGCGAATAACCAGGCTTGCTCGGGCATGGTTCATGAAGCATGTCTTCAAGGTGGAGAGAAGTCTGACTGACCTGGTAATCTGGCTGGGTTGCAAACGATGCCAACCTAAAGGCTCAGTCTCTTTGATACAACCCATAATCTTTCCAGGGTAGGCGTTGGACCCTAATCCAATCCAACTAGCTAGATCAGTTACCCAAGACAAAAACCCGGTGATCTCTTGAGGACGTGATTTCCATTCATCATATGCTAGAGTGAGGGCATCCACCGTTCGCTCCTCTTGAAGGGGTTTTCATCTCCTCCATTCTCATGCATTGATCCCGGAGGAGTATCAATCGGAATGGATCGTGAACCTCCTGTGGATTGCAGGGGCTGCATCCCTGGTGGTGGGGGAATCGATCCACTCGAGTTCAACTGAGAAGCTCCGAACGGCGGGAATTGACGATCCGGTGAGGCTGGCAGGCTCGTAGGGAATGGTCGCCTCTCGAGATGGCGAAGTATAGTTACGCCAAGGATCGGATGTCTGCAGTGGGTCTGCATTGACATTAATCGGATTACCTAGATCGGATGGTTGGGCTGTCGGATCAGGCTGGGCTAAACCAGGCGCAGGGTTTTGTGGCACCTGTGCTGGTGGGATTGGAATCTGAGAACCCGGAAGAACAGTCGGGGCAGCAACACTCTGTGCAACGAAGTTTGGATTTGAGCTCAATTGAATCACCTGTTGCAAAGGTGGTCCAAGAGAGATCAACGAATCTGAAAGGCGCGCAACTTGTGTTTCTAATCTCTCTATTCTTGACGTGTCTACCCCCTGCGCTTCCGGACTCCTTCGGCTCCGAGTTTCAGATCCCCCGAACTTCCTCTGGATCGTTCTCTTAAGCTAAAGGATGCCCTCAGCTAAGGCTGACAGCACCCCGAGCAAATCATGGCTCTGGCGATTGCTGCAGTTCGTCATGGCAAGGTTCGGCTTCGACGAACTTGGTACACTTTCTCGATTTGTGCTCTCGAGGAAGCTGGGATGCAACACTTCGGATTTGTGCGTGTCATCCCTCCAAAAACCGGCTAAAAAACACCCTGGATGGGTGCAGCACACATGCAAGCGACTCGAACGATGTTCCCTTCCGATTGTGTGCATGACATGTTGTGGTCGAACGAAATGGTCAACGATGGTGACTGTATTTCACACCACCACCACCACCACCACCACCACCACCACCACCACTGCCACTGCCAATGCCAATGCCAATGCCACACTTGCCATCACACAAAGTCAATCAGGATCCAGTGGATTCAACCGGGTCAACCCATTGGGTTCAACCGGGGCAAGTGGGATCGGAAACCAACGCTAACCACCAACAACAACAACAACAACTACTGCTGCTGCTGCTGCTCCTCCTCCCACTCGAACTGCGACTACTACTCCTACTCCTACTCCCACTCCTACTCCCACTCCTACTCCTCCCACGACTACGACCACGACTACCACAACAAGCACTACCACTACCACTACCACTACCACACCACACTTCCCTCACACAAAGTCAATCGGGTCAACTGGATCAACTGGGCTCAACTGGGTCAAATAGGTCAACTGGGAACGGGGCCATCGTAACCTTCCATTGCACCATGAAAAGACTTCGGTTGACCTGGTAAAACCCTTGGTGCGACAATGCTTGTTTGGGAATTCAGGCGGCGATTTTCAGAGTCAATGGCACTGACACCCTTACAGCTCGTTTAGATGGAGGTCCATATAAAACACCGACCTTGGGGCTTGTGCCATCCACTCTCAATCCATGTTGGCGAGGAACCCGAGAGCACTCGATACTGGATGTTACGGAACCTCTTCGAACAAGGAGGCTCAGAGGCAGGAAAGGGGTAGGAATCGAAGAGTAAGGAGTGGAAGATTAGATTTGTAGAAGGGAAATAGGAGAATAAACCTCTTTGACTGTGCTCCTCTACAGGTGGTCTTGTTTTGGACCCACACCCAACATTTGGATGGTCTGGTGTGGTAGCGGGCCACTCATTGAAACACCTTTCTCCAATAATTGTTTGGGTCAATACATTGAAAAACACTGAAAAGCATTGAAGTGAGTTGCCATCTAGCCTCCCACAATGCAGTAGCATAACTTGAACTGGGAGAAGAAGAACACCAAGGTTTTGTTCACCCTTGCATGTAGGACTGACCCCTTAAAATGCAAGGGAATAGTCTTAGTGAAGCCAAAGGTTCCAAGGCCTCAGTTCGACCTTTGTGCAACTTTGGTCTAAGTCCGAACAAAGGGCGTGACCGCGCGACGCGTTCGATCGGTGCTGATTTCAATGTATTTCCCGTATTCCAGAACTTTGGATGGCCTCCATATTGTAATCCACGCCCATTGATGGTTGGGGTGTGCTTTGGAAGCTTCATTTGGCGAATCCTTGATGACATTAAGCCTACAGAATGCGGGGTGTTAACCCCCCTACAGAATGGTCCTTTGGTAGTAGAGGGGTTTGGTAGCACAACGCATGTGGTTGGGATTCCAGCATTTTGTAGGCAGCAACAGGGTTGGGCGTACTGATTTTGTAGTGGAAGGAAAATGCATGATTAGGGGTTGGGCGCCCCTTATTTTGTAGAGGAGGTCCCTCATTTTGTAGAGAATCATAATGGATGGATATGGATGGTCAGAAAATATACTAACACCATCTAACATCAAACAGACTTTAACTTAGAACCTATTCTACTAGCCAGAAGATGCCAGAAGCCTGCGTCTCTGAGGAACCAGTGCTTTGTTCATGTTCATCCCGCTCACAAAAGTCTGCTCCAACCGACCTTTGGCATCCTTTGGCCTACATGTGGGACCGGTCGATGAAAGCCAGCGAGTCTTTCGGAGAACCCGAAGTGGACGCTACTAGGAACAAACTGCTTGAACGTGAAGAAGACAGCGGACGCCTCCATACTCCCTCTTCCTTTTTCTTCTTCTCTGCTATTTTCTGAAGACTGACGTTTCCATTTGAACACCTACTCTACAAAACGGGGCGGCCCAACCCTGGGGCCTGTGTCTTTGATTTATGTACAGTAGGCCTGTCCCAAAACTTGGTGTGATTGGGTCTTGCTGGCGTGTCTGCTTCTGTGGGCAGGCCTGCTGTACCCCCATTTTGTAGAGTAGGGAAGGTAGCCAGTGACCAATACTAGGCAGGTGGCTCAAAGGGCCAGGGCCAAGGTGGAGGGTGGAGGTGGTGGAACTTGGGTCTTGCTGGATCTTGCTGGATCTTGCTGGTGTGTCTGCTTCTGTGGGACAGGCCTACTGTACATCAATCAAAGACACAAGCCCCAGGGTTGAGGGCTGAACAATGCCAGGCACGTAGCTGAAATGGACATGTCAGCCTTGAGAAAGGGGCACAGGAAAGGACAAAGGCATACGTGGAGGATCGAGGGGATAGCTTTGATAGGTCGGATTTGGTGGAAGTTGGTGGGCGTGATTGGGTCTTGCTGGTGTGCCGGCGTCTGTGGGGCAGGCCTGCTGTACATAAATCAGAGACGCAAGCCAAAGGGTTGGGGGCCCCCATTTTGTAGAGTAAGGAAGGTGGCCAGTGGTGCAAGTGGTTCAATGGGACCCAAATCAGAAACAAACCGATGCTTGGTGAATTTTTCATTTTCGGTATGTTTTTGTATGCTTCTGATATCTTCTGGCCGATTCTGGCCGTATGCCTTTTTGGTGAAGCAAAGCTGTCTGCTTTGTAGGAGTTGAGATTTGAGATGATTCAAAACAAATCACGATAGATTGGCTACAGGGGATGGAAACCAGTTGACAGGCGGCAAAAAAACAGTGTTGAAGAGCGTTCATATCTTTCTGACTGTTGTTGATGATTTGTGAGTACTTGGGTTCAAGAGGATTCATGCGAACTTATGTTCATATGCATTCATCTTCACTACTAAATGAGTACGTGCCCTCTGCATGGCATACCATTTTGTAGCAATCAGTGGCCTTGGGCCCGCCCATTTTGTACCATTGGCCTAGCCCCTCTCTACAAAATGGGTCCAAATTTTTTAGAGTCATTTTGTAGAGATGGGACGTTGGTCGTTGTCATTATGTAGTGATATTTATATGCAACCAAATAGGGACCCCGACCCCTCACCCTGAATAACGATGATTTTGGCGAACAATTTCTTAGCGGTTGCCATCGATTTTGGGGCAAACTAGAGGCGAACCTAGCGAGCCAAGCACAACCGTTGAGCCCAGAACTGGGAACTGTTGGCCGACTGTTTCTGCAGCAGTTCCCTCCAACACAGTGGAAAGTTCTGGATGGGGTGCCGTTGGCCTATTTCGCCGTGAAGAAACTGAGCTCGCCCCTTTTTCGTGTTCACGATTCGCGCCCCACGTGCGACCACTCCCAGAAGCGCCACGTGCGACCACTGTGCGCCCCTGCGCGAGGCACAAGAAGGATTTGCACAGATCAAGGGAAACATGGTGCACCTCGCAATGGAGGTGTGCTTGCGCCGATTGCGCTTGGCATGGGAACCGGGGGCAATTGCAGCCCTCGGGCTGTTTCATGTCCATGACCGTGCAGTTGGTTGAATGGTCGCATTCGTCATTTGACATTTGACCTGCACCTGATTTTTGAACGAAGGCCAACAATTCCATGCACAGTAAAACATCCCAAACAGAATTCCTGCAGTTGTTTTCTGGAATCTGCCCAGTCCTATTGGTAACGACCCTTAACCTGAAGAACCCTCCGTTGATCATTGTTTTTTCAGCACGAATCAATCCTGTGCAGAACCTTATTGCCTATTGCCCTTGAATGAAAACAAACATTGGCGCTGAAAAGGTCCCTATTCGGGGTAAGCCCCCTGAATTTTGTGGCACTGCAAAACAAGCTACTGTACCTTTGGACTCGGAAGACGATTCTTCTATTTTGGGGTGCTGAAACTACCCCGAAACTGACGGCGGCTTCAGCCCTAATCCGGTTTCATAAAGCAGTGTAACAAGGGGATGAATCAAAATCTGAAGCCAGGTTCCCAGGCAGTCCAGTCTGCTCAGTTGGCGTGGTCAACCCACCCTAGAGGAGTGACACATCAGTGATATCGATAGTCAACTGAAATGATATCAATATTTCGCATTGTCCTGTTGATTCTCTGCTGAGATGGAGAGGATGAGAACAAAAGCATGTGAACGGTAACACGTAATATGTATGCCACTGGACCTCCACCAAAAAGAGCTGCACCTAGATCTGGCGCATGTCCAACTTGAAAGCCAACTAAAACAACCAGATGTTGGGTAATTCGCGCCGGTTTCGCCTGTGGAAGGTTCGGGTTCGGGTTCCATCTCTTGACTCGTTTCCTCCGCTCTCTCTCGCGCTACAGTGCGAAGTCTCCAGCCGAGCAGTTCAGATGGCCTTACAGGCGTGGCGGGGCGGGGAGGTCGGGGGCGGATGACCGGGACATTGAACGAAGCCTGAACATTGGATCTTAGCATGTCAATTTGGCTTTGGAAGAAGATCGTGGAACCTCGGGGTTTGAAGATGGTGGAACATCGTCCGGACTCGGTTCCTCCACCGTGGCGTTGCCGCGCTTGCCGCTTGCCACGCCACGCGGCAGCGCCTCGGTGCCGAGGTGGCGAATCCAAAGATGGCGGCGGATCTGGCGATGGAGTTCAAGGGACATATCTACGAGGCGCCGGGACCCAGCGGGCCTTGGGGTTCGGACCGTGTAACGGGCCCGTTGAGTTCCGTAGTTGAGGTTCAGACCCGGAAGCGGTTCAGGTTGTTCAGGTTCGTTGTTCGGGTGATGCGGGCGCTTTGCACTCACTGAATTGTGGAAGCGGAGTTCGTATTCGGAAAAGATTGGCTTAGGATTTCTTTTTTTACTTGCATGTGATGCGTTCCTCAGAGGTTTTCCGTTTCTGGGGGGCGCTGGTTTGGCGCTTATCCTCGGCTCCTTAGCTGGGGGAGGCATGTTTCTTGTCCCTGGCTGCTGGTGCCGATGGCGAGGTGTTCTCGACCCAACGAACAAAATTGCCCTCTGAAGGCATCCTGGCAGTGTTTGGCTCAGGAATTGAGGCAAGCTGAAGGGCTCAGTCAGTTGAATCATGTTGAATCCTTAAATATGCTTACCCGTCAAAGACATTCACAGACCAAAAAATCATGCATATATATTAAATAAATACACAACTGGCTGTTGGAATCGCACAACTTAAGCTCCCAGCCTGGACGGGGACGACCGACCACAACCGCTGCGCCTGTGCGCAGGTCTCCACTTCTCTGCATGGGAACCACGTGCTGCAGCGCATCATCGAGGCTTCATTTGGAAGGGTGGATGGTGTGCGGATGCCACGGCTTGTAACCCTCTTCCCCTTTTGCTGTTCGACGACTTCGTCTCTGACAAATCTACTCGCCTTTTTCGGGCACAGACTGTTGCAGGGGCTGTTGCAGGGGCTGTTGCAGGACTCTCAGGCTCTTCACGGGCTTCCGAACGTTTGGGGTGCTGGAACGCCTGGACGAAGAACGAAGCGTCCAGGCGTTCCAGCAGGGCAGGTTGCAAGACTTGAACCAGCCAATCTGAAGACTTGAACCTTGAAGGGTCAATTTCAATCTGAGAAATCCTGAGCACCGCTCCACCCTTTCCTTTTTTGAAGATGACACGTCAGTCATGAGCACTGAAACTAACCCAACCTGAACTTTGGCTCAAGAAATAAGTGCGGCAGCTTTTTTAGCTTTTGGTGTCGCACGCTCAGGTTATGAGCCCAAGCGACCTGCCATGTCATCGACAACGATGAGAAGACGGAGAGCGGCGAGCGATAAGGCAGCTGCGGAGGCGGCGCCGGTGGTGATCGGCGAAGCGGATCGCCGCCTGGATGCGCTGATAGAGGAAGAGGTGAGGAGGTCGCGATCGGCGGATGCGGGGCCGAGGAGGGCATCTGATGTGGGAAGCACTCCTAGGGGTCCACCAACCTCCTTTCGACCGCCTGTGACTGGGTCCTCGGAGGGCAATCTCAAGGCACTGGAAGATGGAGGAGAGGTGGGGCCAGCAACGCTGAAGTCGGTGAAGACCAGCGAACCGGTTGGGGCACCTTCAACATCGACCAGTTCCACGGTGGGTTTGGGGGCACTTCATGACGCGGTCCAACGAACTTATCATGCACTTCAACAAGCACTAGCGGGACAACCTCAAGGGCAGGGTCTACTCGCACCTCTTGGACCTGGCACTGATCCGGGAGCTCGAGGAGGGCTGTTTGGTGATGGCAGCGGCTTGATGAATCCACGAGCCTTGGACTATGGGCAGGGAATGGGACAAACACCAAGTCGATCACCCAACATCAATCCCTTTTGGAGTCCTGGTGTTCAGGAGGCTGCGAGGCGAAATCTGGTGGAGGGAGGTCAACCCGGAGGTGAAGGTCTTCTTCCTGGAGGTCATGCGGAAGCACGAACGTGTGGGAGCACTCCGGCGGCTGCTGGGGCAGGTGCTGGACCTATGGCACAGGACTCGGGATCGATGTCGCCGGGTCCGGAGGATGTGGAAGCCCTGAGAACCAGAATTCTCCGGGAAGCTGAGGAAGCATTTCAAAGGGAACTTCGTCGACTTGGCACTTCCCGTGAACCAACGGACACGACTTCCTACAAGACGGTTTCAAGTGGTCAACACTTGGGGGACCCTGTACCGGATCAACCCCCTGGACTACCTCAAGGGCGGCATCCACTGTCGAGCTCTACGGTGGACCATGGATCTGGGCAGAAGGTGGTGAGAATTGGTGGTGGGGCCTCGACTGCATCGACGACGGAGGCGTTGAGGAACCTTGAACTTCCTGCCCTACCCTCTCCAAATGTTGAGGGAGCTTCAATCTTGTTTGGGGACTGGCTCACTATGAGTTTTCCCCTGATGGCTGACATTTCGCATAGCGCCAAGGCCTGGTGGGAAGAGTCACTCTCCATTGCGCAGGAGCACTATGCACGTTGGTTGACGATGACACCCCTGGAGCGACTGTGTGCGAAACCAGTGGTGGTGGTTGAGCCTGCACTGCAGAGGATTGAACAAAGGGGCATTGCAATGTTGTTGGGGGCATTGCCTGATCAGCTCCGGCGGGATCTTGTCAGTGGGCGGCAACTCTCGGTGGTCCACATCCTGTACCGCTTACATGTGGCGTACCAGCCGGGAGGAGGGGCGGAAAAAACGCAACTCCTCAAAAGTTTGGTGGAGACAAAGTTTGCCACGGGGACGGCAGATTTGCTGACACAAGTGAGGTTATGGCGACGATGGCTGACCAGAGCGCAGGAACTTCACCTTACGCTCCCTGACCCTGTGGTTCTCATGGTCACGGTGCAGCGCATGGTTGACAGTGCCACCAAATCAGGAGGCGCTCAGATGGCCTTTCGCATTGCAAACGTGAGGCAAGAATTACGAGTGGATTATGCACCAACGGTGGAAGCAGTGATGGAGCTGTCTGAGTATGTGCAGGCGGAGGTGGAAGAGGTCTCGCTGACGACACCGATGAAGTCCCAGCCAGCAACCGCCACTACCGGAGCTGCAGGAAATCAGACCGTGACATCTGTGAAGGCTATGGCATCATCCTTTGGGGCCACGGAGTTGGAGGATAGGTCTGCACAAAAACCGGCCTGCAAGTTTTGGAAGAGTGAGGAAGGGTGCAAGCGTGGCACCAATTGCACCTATGCCCATGACACCACGGACATGAAGGGTCGCTGCTTCAATTGCGGAGGACTTCATATGAAGAAGGATTGTCCGAATGGGGCCAGGGGAGTGAAACCGGATGCGAAAAGGGTGGCAAAGGTGAAGACCGCGAAGGACTCCGACAAGCCAGAGACGGGGGAGAAGCCTATGCCAGAGACGGGTAAGCTCGATGATGCACGTGGTGATGGTGGATCACTGCCGACTGCAAGGGCGGAAGTGGTGTCGGACAAGCCTCAAGGCAAGGATGCTACGGCTGAGTTGTTGACAGAGGCCACTTCGCTGTTGAAGGCGTTGAGGACTATGAAGATGCTGCGATTGAAGGAGCTGAAGCCACAATGCTCGAATGGTTGTGAAGCATTGGCTCTCTTGGACGGTGGTGCAACCAATGGATTACGCCGAGCCCGTCCACATGAACTGACAAGATTGGTTCCTGTCACGGTGGAGCTGGCATCGGGGTCCACGACCTTGTTCCGTGTCAAGGAGCATAACACGTTGCTGACCAAGGACAACGTGGAAGTGATAGTTCCGTTGCACCGACTAGTGAAGTTGGGCTATAGGCTGCAGTGGACTTCAGCGGGCGTCAAGATCACCCATCCTCAAAGCGGAAGGATTGAGTGCGCATTGCGAGGTGGTTGCCCTGTGCTCTCTGAGAAGCAGGCCCTTGCGTTGCTGGACATCATGGAGAAAGAGGACAAGGGGGAATTGATGCTGGACGAGGAGATTCGTAATTGGTGGTCATCAAGATTTCCGGACGTGCCTCAGGAGGTGTGGAACCACATGCGGGGTCAGGACCACTACAATCCGGAGGAGTGTCCGTGGAATCGGCATCAACGACGACGGCATGCTCGCGCACCAGGAGTGATCATTCACCTGTATTCCGGAAAGGATACCAAGACCTGGACAGCAGAAGATTGGAATGGCTATGAGATCCTCAACGTGGACATCGCCTTGGGCACCCAGTATGACATGCATGCAGTGGGAACCTGGGGATACTTGTGCCATCTGGCCAGATCTGGACATGTGGTGGCGGTGGTAGGAGGGCCTCCGTGTAGGAGTGTCTCTCGACTGCGGCATCGAGAACCTGGTCCGCGGCCGTTGAGAGGAAGAGATGAAAGGCGCTTTGGTTTGGATGGCTTGTCGGCTGTGGAGCAGGACTTGGCCTATGGGGACCTGGCGTTGGTCTTGAAACAGTTTGGACTATGGTTGATGGCGGAGGAGGCCAGGGTGTGCTTGGGAGAAGGTCCAGGGCATCGGTCAATTTCTCCTGCCTATCTGATGGAGTCTCCGAGGGATCCGGTGACCTACATGAAGGAAGAAGCTCTCCAGGAGGACATGCCTAGCTTCTGGAACTTCAGAGAGGTTCGGGACATGATGGAGGTCATGAATGCAAAACTGATAACCCTGGACCAAGGCCCCGTTGGTCATGTCAAGAGGAAACCTACGAGCCTGATGGTGGTCAACATGCCGGACATGGATGAGTTGGATGGCATGACAGGGGATGGGACTGGACAGCAAGCTGCAACTACATTGCGAGGGCGGCTATGTCAATCACGAGAATGGTCGGCATGGGCACCGGGGCTTGTAGCTGCGATCAAGTTGAGTTTGAAGAGATATCTGGGCAGACTGCATAGCTCTTCCAATCATGGAGGTGATGGACGACCTGCACTTCAACGCATGGACATGGAGGCCTGGAAGGACCATGTGAGGAACCAACATCAGCCCTACAGAAGAGACTGCCGGAGATGTATGGAAATGATGGGCATGGATGCACCCCATCGTAGAACTCGGGGGGATAGAGCGGCCTATTGCCTGTTTTATGACATCGTGGGTCCTATGCCAGAGGGTGAGGATGTGGGACTGGGAACCAGAGCCAAGTATCTTCTGGTTGCAACAGTGGCCATTCCGAGGCTGCCTAGAGAAGACCCTGATGATGGAGAAGCAAGGGAGCTGGATGGAGAAGATGGCGATCCACTGCCTATAGGGGAGGAGGATGAGGATGAGCGTCCGGTTCCCGATGATGAGCAGGTGCAAAAGTTGAATAGAGCCTGGGAGGACTACATCAAAAGCCTGGGAGAGCCGGTGGGTGTGCAGAACATCACGTTGGTGGAGCCATTGGAAAGCAGGTCACAGATGGATGTCACCAAGGTTGCCACTCGGATTTTCTGTCGGTTCAAGGCGATGGGAGTCAACATGCTCCGGGTACACACGGATAGAGACTGTGCCTTTCTGTCGAGATCTTTTCAAGCCTTTTGCCGACGGTTTGGACTATATCAAACCATGACGGGCGGAGATGAAGGACCGTCCAACGGCCGGATTGAGTGTGAGGTCAACCAAGTGAAACGACGTCTTCGCCTCCTCATCAAAGAGAGTGGTCTGGAGCAGAAATGGTGGCCGGGGATTGCTCGCTACGTGGGAGAAGAGAGACTTCGACGTCAATGCTCTGGTCTTGGTGTCCCATCCACAGCACTTTTGCCGATTGGGGGGAGAGTCACAGTGAAAACCAAAAGGTGGCACAGAGCAGGATTCGGACCTTTAACGGCACCTTTCCGAACTATGACCATCAAGGGTCCATCTCCTTTCATGTCACAGGGCTATGTCTTGATGGAGGGTGAGCAGATCCAACATGCTAGGGTGGTGGTTCAACAAGATCCAGGCGCAGAACGAGCAGTTCTAGAACTGCAAATGGTTCCAGATCCTGAAAGGCCACAGCACAGATTGACAGGGAAGCAACCAATGGAACCAATGCTTCCCCAACTTCCGCCTCCAAGGTCATCGCCTGATCCTGGACTTCATCGACTACATGCTACTTCCGGGGGAGAACCAGTCCAAGTCTGGACTGGGGGGGAGTCCTTCTATGCTGTATGCAAGGAGTGTGGTCTACAATGTGCGGATGGGGGCTCAATGAAGAAGATGGAAGGACGGGAATGCTGTGACTTCTGCGAAACCCCGTTGGAGCGGCTTGAGGAGAAGGCTGTGAATGGCACTATGGAGTGTGGAGTTGAGGAAGCCTATAACCTGACACGGTGGATGCATGAAGAACATTGGGGCTGGAAACAGCTATGGAGTGACCTTTTGAAGGATGTGGTGGTGGGTGAAGAGGATGGACTATTACGAGGAGCGCTGATGGACTACCTTGAGAAGAATGTCCTGGCCCTGGAGAATGAACTGACAGAGATCAGGGATTTTGACCTGGGTTATCAAATGGCCAAGATGGCTGAAGGGGTGGTTGGGGAATGCCCTGATGGTGAGCAGCAGTCTCCTCTGAGTGTCCATGCCGTATTACAGACCTACACTGTCCCTTTGGCGCAGGTGAAGAAGGAGCTGAAGGATTGGATTCCATCACTGGAATATGAGGTGAACTCCTTGGAACGCACCACGAAGGCTGTTCGGCCAGTGTCAGTCCGAGATCTATGTCATGAGCCGGGCTACGAGGAAATGCTGGTTGTGCCGTCGAAACTGGTGCCGACGGTCAAAGCACCGGATGGAAAGAAGAGATCAAGAATAGTCCTATGCGGCAACTTGGTGGAGGATGCTGCACGACGAACAGGACACTCTCAGGCTGGGAAAGAGGACAAACAAGTGAATCCCTCTGCAGGAAGATCATTTGAATTGTATGCCAGCGGCATCGATGGAGGATCGCTGAGGTGTGCATTGAGAAAAGCAGCCTATGAACAGTGGTCGATAGGCATCACTGACGTCTCCTCGGCCTTCTTGTTAGCACCTCGGAAGTCACCTCGGCTCATGGTCACCAAGCCCCCGGCGATTTTGATTGAAGCTGGACTGATCTCTGCGGACACACGCTGGGTGGTGGAAGCGGCGGTCTATGGTCTGGACAGCTCACCCTCGGACTGGCAGGCGTACAGAGATGATGTTCTCCGCAGTCTACGGTGGTGGGAGTCAGGTGTGCACTACTGGATCAATGCGACGCCAGAGCCGAATGTGTGGAGATTGATGACTGCGAATGGGGCAGAAGGGGACTACGTGAACGTCATGGAGGAGGGTGAAACATCGGGGTTTGCTCTATCCTACGTGGACGATTTCATTGTCATGGGCCCACAATCAGTCGCACAGGCCGTTCTGACGAAGTTGGCGTCGACCTGGAGATGCTCTACACCGACGTGGGTGGTCTCGTCGGAGTGGAGGAAGTTTTGTGGAGTGGAGATGAAGTGGAATGGAGCAAACCTCATGATTGGCCAGCCGGACTATGCTCGAGAACTTGTGACCCGGCATCCTGACCTTCCACTGAGGTACTCACCGCTTCCCAAGATGATTGAGCTCGAGCCCGAGGAAGTCATAGACCCCACGGATGTGAAGCAATGTCAAACTCTGGTGGGGGAACTCCTGTGGCTGTCGACTAGGACAAGACCGGATCTCAGCTTCGCTGTTGCTTATTTGGGTGCAAGGGTCACCAAATCTCCTAAGGGTGTGCTGGAGCTGGCGAGCCATGTTGTTGGATACTTGGCTGCAACCCCAGATCTGGTGCTGGAATATGGACCTTGCTCGCCTGAGCTTGACCGACATGGCCGTAAGCAGTCGCTGGCTCGCCTGGAAGTGCTGACCGATTCCTCGTTCGCTCCTGCTGGAGGTCGTGGTCATCAAGGGATCGTGGCTATGTGGGGTGGATGCCTGGTAGCTTGGGAATCGAAGTCTCAGGCTTTTGCCACTCTGAGCACTACAGAGAGTGAGCTTTTGGGCTATATCGACGGGTTCACCTTGGGCGAGAGTGTTGGTGCGGTGGTGAATGTGCTGCACCAGAACATCCTTGAAAAAGAGGGAGCGTTTACGCTCAAGGGGGACAACATGTCCGGCCTGCAGCTGCTTCAAGCTCCGTCGGGTCCTTGGAGGACTCGTCATTTGAGGTTGAGAAGTCACGTACTTCGTGAACGACTTCAGCACCATCTCTGGGATGTAGAGCACGTCCCAGGAACGGAGCTATGTGCAGACCTGCTGACGAAATCCATTACTCAGTCACAGTCTTGGCTGGCGTTCAGGAATGCTGTTGGCCTCCGTGATGCAGCCTCGTTGGGTCACTCACAACAACAGAGTGATGGGGATGGTGCTGCTGTGAAGAAGGTGGCATACGCTGCAATGGCTTCGCTGGGATTGCTTGCAGCCATGCCTTACGTTGGAAGCCTTCCACGAATCGCGTGTGTGACTGCATTGGGAGCAATTGCCACTTTCGTAGCTAGCAGTGTGTACAAGACGGCAGGATGCCAGTCAACCAAGAGGCCTAACGCAACCCAGAAAAGAACAGATTCAAGATGGTCAAGGGAAGATGAACCTGACCCAAGTAGGTGGACAGAGAAATCAAGATGGTCAAGGGAAAATGAACCTGACCCAAGTAGGTGGACAGAGAAGTCAAGATGGTCAAGGGAAAATGAACCTGGCCCAACATCGACCGACGATCGTTCGCTCGACACTTGCCATCTTGGCACCCTGTCGGACACATCGCATGCGCAGCCATGGATTCCTCGGTTGTGCGCTATTCGTGCTCTGGGGCCGCATCTGGGACTGGGCACGGACACTCCGTGGCGGCTGGAGCGATTTGCAACTCCTCCCACTGGTAATGACCGGTGGGAGTGCCTTGGCAGTGGAGACGGAGCAGGCGAATGGTGGGTTCGCGTGCTGAAGAAAGGCAGGGTGAGAGCCTTTCACCCCCTACATAGGGGGACGCCCTTCATGATTGAGAGGATGGCTTCGACGAGGGTGACAGTGGCTTTCCATCGAAACAGCACTCGAGAAGCCTGGAAGAGGAAGGAGATCATGGATGACTGGATCAATTCCCGCAACTCAGATTTGGCGGATGTCTATGAATGGAGGGGCTACAGTTTTTTCTATGTGAGATTCCCTCCGAGAGAGACTGAAGGACATGTGGGCTCGGCATCTTCGAACCCACTTCCACCTCCTGGCTCGGTGACTCAAAGCCCGCATGGGTATGGAGAAGATCAGCCGTCGAGGTCTCGAGCAGTAGAAAGGGGAAGGGCTGCGCTGGCAGAGGCGGGGCGTCGCTCCTATGCTGCTGTGGAGGCATCGGCTGAGGGCGCTTCGGGGCATGCGAGTGAGGAGAGCCAGGGCTATCGAGTCCGACTGCAGGGCTATGAGAAAAGGGGTGAGACCGGCACCATCGAGGGCAGCTGGACCCGGGCGCTGGCTGGTGAGGGATTGATCGAAGAGGATCCATCCCAGATGCCTGTTTGGTTAGGCATTGAAACTGCCGTGACTGGAGGGAATCGGGAGCCAGAAGACACCGATAGCTCCCATTCTCGCGGCAGCTTTGAAAAGGTATGATGTTGAAAACATCAGGGGGAGTGAGAAATCCTGAGCACCGCTCCACCCTTTCCTTTTTTGAAGATGACACGTCAGTCATGAGCACTGAAACCAACCCAACCTGAACTTTGGCTCAAGAAATAAGTGCGGCAGCTTTTTTAGCTTTTGGTGTCGCACGCTCACAATCAATTTCACATCTCCAGTTGATATCAACAAGGTTTTTCAACCATGCCTCAGACCATCTCAGATCTCATGGCCAATTCTTTTGGTTTTACAGTAAAGCATTGGATGATAGGACTTCCAAGCATCAGAAGCCGCGACGTCTTTCGGCTCCATCTTTCGAATTGCCAGTCGACTCAGTCGGGGCACCTTCTCACCCGACACCTGTGACGCGAAGAGCAATTCCTCCAAGAGTGGAAACTGACCTTCTCGTCGTCCAAATCTGTATCGATCGTGGACCTGAAGCAGTGCGTTCGGACCGTAGTTCTGAATGGCCTGGAGTAGTGCGTTCGGACCTGGAGTAGTTCTGAATGGCCTGGAGTAGTGCGGTCGGACCGTAGTTCTGACAAGGCCGAACGGATGGCTTTTCTAGAACAACGGTGTTACCCTTTTTGGGGGGTACCAGTGCCCCGGGTGCGCGAGACGCCGAGCGCGAGACGCCGCGCAGATTTTGCCGTCCTCCAAGACGCAGTTCATCGCTGAAGCGATCACACCAAGAGCTGATGAGGCGCGGTGTGAAGAAGGACACGATGGCGCAGGTGTTGCCCCAGGTGTTGCCCAAGGGCTGTTTAAGACCGCGGAAGTTGGGGTCTTGATGATTCAGATCGGGGGAGGTGGCGGAGTTTGGAGGTCAAATGGACTGGGAATGGACGACGCTCTCTTCAAGCGAGTCACAGCCGGCACACATGTGTGGCACATGTGGAGATACCCTTCGACGCCCCAGGTTTGGAATTTCACTTGCGCCAGTCCTTGACCCCTAATCACCACCCCAGAGGACGATTCATATGTGCCAGTCCCATGGAGAGTTTTTCAGGATGTAATGCAGTGATGCCAGTGATGTCTAGTTTTCCAGGAATCACTTTGGAGGCGGCGAAAAGAACTCGTCATTCGTTGAGCTTGGTAGGGGCTGAAGTGATCCACCAATGAGCATCCAATGAACCAGGTATAGAGAATCCCGTTTCTCCCACCAAGCATCTCAGGAAGCTCAGTTTCCACCCAAAAAGTCCAGGACACTTGGGACTTGGGTACTCGTATGCAGCTGGCTCTAGCGGTTGCTGAGTGGTATATAACTACTTTGAATCCGCTACGACTTGAACCAGCGATTTTTTCGTGCTCTTTTTCAGCTTCTACCCACCCCCGGGTCTTCGATGTCAACCGCAGGTGGCGCGCAATGTCTTCGGCTGCCGCATCTTCTGCCGTCTCCTGGAACAAGGGAACGAGGAGGCCACATGGGAGCTCATCCAGAAGGCGGGGATGGCTGGAACGCATGACTCGCGTGGGCGTTCATCGCGTGGCAAACGGGCCGGGTGTTCACACACGAAGGACTTGTGTCGACTGTCACGCTTCGGTTTGGCGATGTTGCTGTCTGAAGGACCCTACAAGTCAAGGACATCCTTTTACTGGACTTGGCCATACAAAAAATAACAGATTCAGGACCAGGCTTTACATTGTTTTACTGGGTCAGACTGGACTTGTAGGGTGAACTCCAGTCAACATAGTGGTATGTGTGGTCGAATGGACACATGTTGATCACCTGAATGGACAGGGGTGTCGTCGTTTTGGAACGCGTCTGTCGATTGCTACATAGCTGGACCATCGGTGACCGCCCTGGCTGGAGATCCTGTCGTCCAGCCAGGACACCCGGATGGTCAGATGGTCCTGGAACGCTCACCCTTGTGATCTGTTGTGTTGGTTTCCTTGCATCACCCTTGTCCCGAGTTTTTTTTGTTTTTTGTTTTTTTTCTCTTAAGGTATTTGCCAAGCAGCGAGCGTTCATTGATCATTAATACTTCCTGTAATATAGCATTAATTATTTATACTATATGCAATTGACAGGCACGTTCCAAAACGACCATTATCTCCCGCGTTCCAAGACGACAGCAATCGAATGATGCTGAGTGAAGCTGAATGGCAAGGATTCCCTGAAGGAACAAAGATGAAACGATTGAGTGTGCTTTCCATCCCTAGGGTTTTTCTATGTTTTTCTTCTACCTCCTCCAAAGGTACTTCCTCTACTCTCGGTTTCCAAGGGGATCCGATCAATCTGATCAATTTGCTTCGCACGACCTCAGCGGCCCAAAGCCACCGGCGGTGGATCGTGCCGGCGACGATTCAGAAGGCCACCAGAATTCCCTCGCTGAAACGGCTGATTCCGGTCTCGCAAAAAGAAAAGACTTTCCAGACGGAACATGATATAGAACCGGAACCGTTCACCTTGGCGACATGCTCCGTATCTATCGAAGCTCTTTTTAATGTCACTCATGTAGAAACCATATCCTTTGCCATATCTATACTATAACCGATCTATATAGTGTAAGCAGTTATCTCTTGGTGTACGCCTTTGAGTTCTTTTGCTTTTCTGTTGCATTTTCTTTGGTCAACTGCCTTCTCTAACGGTGGAGGCACCTGACGAAGACGGCGCCTGAAGAGCGAGCTTCACTTGACGACACTTCGATGGTACACCTCGAAACTCTGGACCCCACACCCAAGCACTGAACGGGAGTAACCCACCTTTCTCGCACTCCTCATCCGAAAAAAACAACAGAAAGGAAAAACACAAATAATACACCAAAAGGCTCTTCCTTTTGCGCACCTTTGCGCAACCCCTGGCACGTGTTTTTGGCACGCGGCACGCGTGACGCGTTATGGCGCCTTTGCGGATGGGACGGGGCTCCAAGGTGCTGGGCCGCGCGGAGGACCTGGTGCAACACCAGTTCGGCCGCTTCGTGGTCCGGAGCGCCAGACCGGTTGTGTGGACACCTCCGTCCGGTGGGGTACAGACGGGGTTCCAGAGTCTGTTCGATTGGAGGAGTGGAGGGCTGCGAAAGATTTTGGAGGACCGCTGAAGAATTCTCGCCTTGACTGAAGCCTTCTGAGCAGTTTAGATAGGTGAGTGTCATCATATGGTGTCAATCCATTTTATTTACTGTAACTTCTTGAATGGCCTTCGCATGGATTGATAATGCAACCACCCTCGAGGCCCGTCCATCAAGAATGTTTCCCATTTGATTGTGTCTCAGGCGACTCGGGCACTTGTGCTCGATGTGTGGTGAACTTCCACCAGAGTTGATGTGAAACGGATGACAAACCGGCTCCTTTTTTCAACCCTAAGCATCCGTACGGGCCCTCCATGGCAGGGGGACCCGACACCTTCGGGGTCCGGACCCGAACCAAACCCTATTTGAGGGCCCGGATTTTTAGGGAAGGCTGCTTTCCGGATTTGACAGCTCATTATAGACCTACGACAGAGGACAGGAGGCAAGCTTCTGGATCACTCCCCACTTGGAGCCGTCCAACTCTCTTCACCGGCAGATGCAGCATGCGGATGCAGCCGGTTGTTGGGAGTTGATAAAAAGAACTTAATCTGGCTATAGCTAGCAGCTAGCAGCTAGCATGCCATGCTGCTTCATGAGGGTCTGAGCTGATTCCTCCTAGATTCGCAAGAAGGGAGCTCCCCTTTGGCCCCCGAGAAAGGGCTTGACCTTTCCTGAACACTTCCGAAGTCCCCGCAGTTCTCCCTGCAGAGAATTGCTACGACTCTCCAGATGCGCAGAAGTCCTCTACGTGCTTCGTCTGGCACCCACAGGGGACCCTTCACAGGGGTCCCACATGGTTTTCGTGCCCGCGAGTGGTTGCTCCAGGCACAGGCCATACTAGAACACGGGACCGAGCAGCACAGGCGCGCGCTGCGTGGAGAGGTCTGAGGTCTGAGGCCTTGAGCCCTTAGTGACAGAGCCTGAGGTGGAGGCGATTGTTTCTCCGTTTCTCATGTTCATTTGCAGTCATCTTGAAGATCATATTTTACATGATTTTACTTCAAACCATGCATTAGGAACGATTGGAAGACCATCTACGATATCAATCGGCGTATCACACACATTTATATCAATAAAATTAACACTGATTGAAACAGGGTCATGACCTGAACAGGAGTTTCCTCAATTACTTCGCTGCAAAACAACATCGTCGGACGGGACTGATCGTCCTTCCGTCTGTCCGCTGCTGTTCGGTGCGGCCTTGGTCCGGAACCGGTTGGGCGTTGCTTGCCGATCGGCGCCCGGCATGAGACCAGACCCAGCCGTACGTGGCGCGGACTTGCAGGGGGAACTTCCGGATCCGATTCCATCAAGACCCGTGCCACCCCCGAGCGCAGGCATGTCTTAGCCGTTGCCGTGGGTTCGGGGCTCTCGGAACAAACGCGGCGGGACGGGGCGTTTTGGCGCGGCGGCAACGGGCCGCCGGGCGATCCGAAAGGTGATGCGATTCTTAGTGAGATGACTTAAGTCCCAAAGACGACCGGGTGGGATTGGAATATATTATATATATGATGTACCAGGACCTTCCAACATGGAGCTCTGACCTGTCGGACACGCTGACACTCCAAAATCCGACTCTGGACTCTGAGAGATGCGTTTCTAGATAGGATCAGTGTGAACATCATTTTCCTCTTTAAGACCTCAAGCAACGATAGATTATTTCTGTTGTGAACCAGTTGCGGGGAACTTCAGCCGCCCGAAAGTCGACGTGCGCTCCAATAGAGATTATCGCAGTCGACATAAGGAGGCACATATTCCATACATGAAGTGGGTATATCATCACCTCGACTTCGCAAGGAATCGAATCTCGCACTACGAAAGTTTGGTGTCCAAATGACAAGTAGGCCAAGGCACTCTCAGGGGACTCCCTGTACCAGGAGTCACATGTCAGGATGGAGTTGGCCAGGAGTCACATGGAAACCCTTGGCCAGGAGTCACATGGAGTTGGATGGTTTTTAGTCCCATCCAGTGAGTGGATGTTCTGGGCACCCCTATCCAGTATGCTGTCCTTCTTCGCAGGCGACTGGGGCGCGATTGGCCTACCGCGCTTTTTCGCGGAGCGACCGCCTTTTTCTGGTTCTCAACTTTAACCGCTAAACATCCCAAAACCATCCCTGTGCGAGTTGACTCTAAAAAATAGGACAACCCGGGCTGTCTTAAAGCATGAAATCAGTAGGGTGATTCAAAACCCGTCTAAACCCTTTTCCCACGAACCCAGCAGTTTGAAACCTTTGAATGGTTGAGCTCAGAATTGTCCCCATCGACATCAGACCTGCAAGACACCGCTCTCGATGCGGTGCTTTTTGGCGATGCCGAGGCCCTCGCGTGAGGTCTTTGGCACAGCACAGCCCAGCTGGCTGGATGTTGATTCATGGTGTGAGGGGATAGGTAGTTCAAGAGACCTAAGGTGTTGAAGACACGAATCATATATTTAACTTGGACATTCTTGGACTCTAATTGATGTGGCATATGCATAATCTGAACAAGGAAAGAACCGAACCACGTTTTCATCACGTGTTCAGAGCCGTCTCCGACAGTGACGTCATCGGCGGACCGAAGAAACCAAGGTTTCGGCGAGCATCATGGAACGACCCGCTTTGGTACGCGTCGTCGTCGTCGTCGTCGTCGTCGTCGTCGTCGTCGTCGTCGTCG